CTGGGGATTTAGCTCAGTGGCACTATGCCTGCCTCACAAATGCAAGGTCCTAAGTTCAATTCCCAGTACAAAAAAAAATTGCAAGAGACCCCTAAAAATCAATCCAGTAGCTGCTACATCATGCAAATAAGAATAACATAAGATTGATCAGAGTCAATGAAAAAGCAGGAGATAGCGCAAACAACATAAAAAAACTTGTTCACAGAAGTAATGTCAGAAAACTTCCCAAGCAGGGAAAAAGAATTTCACATACAAATAAGTGAGACATATAGAACTCCAATTAACCATGATAAAAAAAACTACACCATGATAATTTCCAGAAATTCAACATAAGAACAGAATGTTAAAAACTGTTAGAGAAAAGAAACAAATCACCTATAAAGGAAAGCCCATCAGAATCACAACAGACTTCTCAATACACTCTCAAGTCACAGAAAACTTGAAGTGTTTCAAACCCTAAAAGAAAACAATCTCCAACCCAGACTGACGTACCCCACAAAACCATCTTTCAAGGAGGCCAGGGATTTAGCTCAGTGGTGCCATGCCTGCCTGGTAAGAGCTAGGTCCTAAGTTCAATCCCCAGTACAACAACAACAACAAAAAAATCTCGAAATTGGTTGACAAATAAGATACCTCATGACAAAGAACACCTCAAGAAATTCATGGCCATAAACCAGCACTCCAAAATGTTCTAAAGGACATTCTAGAAATAGATAATGAGGATGATAACTCCATGAACCTCAACAGATGAATCCACCACACAAGGCACGGCAAGGCAATTAGAGGGGGAAAAAAGAGGACCAATAACAGGAAAATTACATGACAAGGATAAATCAATACATATCAATTATAACCATCAATGTAAATGGTCTCAATTCACCAAAAGAGACTGGCAGAATGGATCAAGAAGTAAGATCCAACAATACACTGGATACAAGAAACACATTTAATTCAAAAATAAATTCATAGTCTGAAAGTCAGAGAATGGATGTTAATACACCATGTGACAGGAACCTGGAAAAATACTAGCACACCCAACTATATAAAACAAATATTAATGGACAAAAAACAAATCAAATAAGCACGAATACACTTGTAATGGGGGACCTCAATACCCCACTGTCACATATACAACAACTAGACAAAAAAAACCCAAATATCAGAACTGAATGAAAATTTTTAACAAATGTACTTAGTAGATGTCTACAGAGTGTTCCACCCCACAATATCCAAATACATATTCTTCTCAGCTGCACATGAGGTATTCTCCAAAATAGACCACATACTAGCTCATAGAACATGCTTATGGAAATGCAAAAGAACTGAAATTATCACATACATATTATCAGACCACAGTGCAATGAAACTGGAAATCAATGGCAAAAGAAGCCAAAAGAACTTCATAAACACCTGAATAACCAATGGGTCACAGATGAAATGAAAGAAGAAATTAGGTTCTATAATACAACATACCAGAACTTACAAGATACAATAAAAGCAGTCCCACAAGGGACATTTATAATGGTGAATTTGCATATCAGAAAAACAAACAGCACAAATAAACAACCTAACGCTGAACCTCAAGCTTCTAGAAAAGGAAGATCAAGTCAAGCCCAAATCTCATATGAGGAGGAAATTGTAAAAATCAGAGCAGAGGGCCCAGGGATTTAGCTCAGTGGTTTCACTGCCTGCTGTGCAAGCGCAAGGACCCGAGTTCGATCCCCAGTACCAAAAAAAAACACAAACTCAGAGCAGAAATTAATGCAATGGAGACTAAAACAATAATACAATCAATGAGTTGAAGAGTTGGCTCTTTGAAAGATTAAATAAAATTGACAAACCCTTAGCCAACATTATCCAAAAAAAGGAAAGAAAAGACTCAAATCCATGCCATTATGAATGAAAAGGGTGAAATCACAACAGATCCTGCAGAAATCCAGAAGATCATCAATACCTACTTCAGGAACCTGTATTCTGGGGCCAGGGATGTAGCTCAGTGGTGCTGTGCCTGCCTGGCAAGCACAGAGTCCTGAGTTCGATCCCTGGTACCACAAAAAACCAAAAACCAAAAACCAAAAAACCCTGTATTCTAATAAGAAAAAAAAAAAGAGGAAATGGATAGATTCCTAGATACATATGAATTACCAAAACTGAAATAAGATATAAGAATTCTAAGTAAACCAATATTAGCCAATGAAATTGAAGATGTAATTAAAAACCTACCAATAAAGAAAAGCCTGGGCCCTGATGGATTCACTGCTGAATTCTACAAGAAATTTAGAGAAGGCTTAATGCCGCTACTTCTCAAACTCTTTAATGAAGCTGAAAGGAAGCAATATTTCCAAATTCAGGGCCAGGGATTTAGCCCAGTGGTTCCATCACCTGCCTCGCAAGTGCAAGGACCCGAGTTCGATCCCCAGTACCAAAAAAGAAAAAAGATTAAAACCAAATTCATTCCTGGAAGGAAGCATTACTGTGATACCAAAGTCAGAGAAGGATCCAAGCAAAAAAGAGAACCATAGGCCAATGTCCCTAATGATCATAGATGCAAAAATCCTCAAGAAAGGGTGGAGGGGGTGAAGGGTGCACAGATAATGGGGAAAAAAATAAGAACCAAGATACATCACATACCCCAATGATAAATGTAAACAAATTGTATACCTAAAATGTACCAATAAAAGTACTTATAAAAAAAATCCTCAAGAAGATACTGGCAAGCAGAATACAGCAAATCATCAAAAAGATTAAACACCATGACCAAGCAGGAGTCATCGCAGGGATGCAAGGATGGTTCAACATACGCAAATCAATAAATGTACTCACAAGTGGAAGGGCCCAAGTTCAATCCCTGGTACCAAAAATAAAAATAAAAATAAAAATAAATGTAACACACTGTATTAACAGAGCCAGGGACGAAAACCATATGATCCTCTGAATAGATGCAGAAAAAGTATTTGACAAGATCCAACACCCGTTCATGATAAAAACCCTACAGAAAATTGCAACAGATGGTCTTTATCTCAATCTGATAAAAAAAACTTATCTATGACAAACCAACAGCCAACATCATATCAAATGGACAAAAACTGAAAGCTTTCACTGTAAAATCAGGAACAAGACAAAGATGTCCACTGTCATCACTCTTATTCAATATAGTTCTGGAAATATTAGCCAGAGCAATTCAACAAGAAAAAGAAATAAAAGGAATAAGCTAGGAAAGGAAGAAGTGAAATCATTATTTGTGGATGTCATGATACACTACATAGAAAACCCCAAAAGCTCCACCAAAAGACCTCTAGATTTAATAACTAAATGCAGCAGTGTAGCTGGATACAAAGTCAACACTCAAAAAATCAATAGCATTCCTGTACACAAATAACAAACTCACTGAAAGAGAAATTAGGAAAACAACACCTTTCACAATAGCATCCAAAAAAACAGCCCAAATCCCCATCAACTGACAAATGGATAAAGATGTCAGGCCAGGGATTTAGCTCAGTGGTTCTGCAACCTGCCTCACAAGCTCAAGGTCCTGAGTTCGATCGCAGGTACCAAAAAAAGTAACAAAAAAAAAAGATGTGCTTTTTTTATACAATGGAGTACTACTCTGCCATATAAAGAAGGATAAGCTTGAGCCATTTCTAGCTAAGTGGATGTATTTGAGACGATACTCATTTTTTTTTTTGGTACCGGGGATTGAACTTGGGTCCTTGTGCTTGCAAGGCAGGTGGTGGAACCACTGAGCTAAATCCCTGGCCCTCCAGACCATACTCTTAAGTGAAACAAATTAGGCACACATGTTCAGATACTGCATTGTTTCTTTGGTTTGAGAAACTGAAAGTGGAAATAAGGACCAAAATGTATAGTAGATGTTGCCAAATGGGAAGAAAATGTTCAATGAGAAGGGGAATAATGGAGGCAGGAGAGGGAAAGGAAAGAAGGGACCAAAAAAAGAAAATAGAAGGAAAAAATGGCCACAAAGCTTTTGTAAATAAGGTGGGGTACAGGGGTTGAAGGGGGAGAATGGGAAAAAAGAAGCATGATACATCATGTATAGGTACACACTCCCTATGATAAATGTTATCATTATGTGTATCTAAAATGTACCAATAAATGTTTTGCTTTTAAAAAAAACAAGATCTGGAGATGTAACTCAGAGTGAATGCCCTGGATTCAGCCCCCAGTATGGGAGTGGAGTGGGGAAGTACAGTTGCAGGAAATGTGAACAATCTTAAACTGATTATAGCAGCTTTATCTACTTCAATGAATTACATTCTTTTTTTATAATTCATTTTAAGGGGAAGAGATCAGGTTCTTACCTCTGTCTCCACTGTTTGTCTGAGACAGGGCCTCGCTATGTAGTTTAGGCTGGCCTTGAGCTGACAATGTACCCCAGGCTGGCCTCAAACTCACGGTGACCCTCCTGTCTCAGCCTACCGAGTGCTGGGATTACAGGTGTGCACCACCACACTCGGTCTGTTCCATTGTTTTAAGGCAATAAAGGAGACCTAAAATGTAGGCAAAGATGCCAAGACCATCCTGCTTTTAATTACTCATTGGGCATCTGGATCCTCATCCTTTAAGTCCATTACAGAAGCACACATGAAGTGCACTGGTGCTTCTGGAACAGGTGAAGAAGGAAGGAGACTGGACTCCTGCCCAAGGAGACTGGAAAATGCAGCCGAAATGGTATTACTCCTGAATATATACGGGTGTGCAAGGTCAGCTTTAGTCATGGGTATGTGTGTCTCCTCCAGGGAATAACCCAGCCCTAGAAGGGCAGAGAGCACGAAGATACCTTGGAACTTGGCCACTGGTTTATCCTGCTTCCCCATTTTTGGTGATCATCTGAGTTTGCTTTTCCTCTGAGAGGGTGGCATCTCAATTGTGGAAGCGCCCCTTTTTCTCATTCCCACCTACACTGCACACTGAGCACCCGCTGCATTCCTGCGAGTGACTGCCAGGGCGCTGACCTCCAAGATTCCAAGGGCTCTTCCACCGCCCCAGCCGGGGTCCTGCCGCCTACGGAATCCCCGCACACCCTGCACAGCAAGCAGCTTCTTCCGAAGGCCTGACGCCTACAGAACTCCTGGGGAGCGCGCGCCGCCGGCGGAACACAGCTTCAATTGCCCGCAGGAAGGTCGTGGGACCTGCCGCACCACCACTGCGTACAGTCGGCTGCCGCAGCACTGAGTCATAGACTGGTGCCGCCGGCCGCAGCCTCTCCCTCCCTACCAGACCTTGAGCTTCTTGTAGTAAGCAGAGGCCTCTCAGGACAGCAGCTACCATCCGGGCTGCCCTGACAGTGCTGTCTTGCCTGGGTCTCCAAGTGGGAGTAGCTTCTACTTCGGAAGAGCACAGGTCTGCCGGCCACTCGGCTGAGAACAGTCCCGGGGGCGGGTCCAAGGCGCTAGCGGGAAGCCGGCTTCTGGAACCCGCGGGGCGCGCCAGGGCCTGTGGTCCCAGCGACTGCGCAGCGCGGGCCCAACGGCCCCTCCCCCGGGCGCGCGCGACCCGGGCGCCATGGCGGCTGCGGCTACAGTTCCGCGGCCCGGAGCTGGGAAGCCCGCGGAGGCTGCTAGTCTGCAGTGGGCGACCCCTGAACCACGGGGGGTCGCGGTTGGGGCCAGGCCAGGCGACGACGAAGACTCGACTGTGCAGCCTCTGTGCAAGCCTCGCGGCATCTGCTCGCGGGCCTACTTCCTGGTGCTGATGGTGTTTGTGCACCTGTACCTGGGCAATGTGCTGGCGCTGCTGCTCTTCGTGCACTACAGTAACGGCGACGAAAGCACTGAGCCCGGACCCCCGCGCCGCTCCCCGGGCCCTCTGACCGTCCCTACCTTGGGTCCCCTCACCCGGCTAGAAGGCATCAAGGTGAGTATCCCCCGCCTTCCCCCCCCCACCTCTGGGCCTCCCGCGGCCGCACCCCACTACGGGTCTGAGCTGTGCGCCTTTTCCTCAGGTGGGGTACGAGCGCAAGGTACAGCTGGTCACCGGCAAAGACCACGTCATTCGAACCCTTAGCCTCAAGCCGCTGCTCTTCGGTAAGTCCACCAGGAACTTCCGGGAAGGGCCAAGGGCTGCAGTGGCCACTTGAGGCCCCTTTCAACCACGTGCTTTTTGTTTTGAAGATGGCCGCTTCAAAGTAGCCCGCCCTCACCAAAATAGGTAATAGGGCAACCTTTTCACACTCCCCTCTCAGCCATCCTCCCTGCAGTGGACTCTTCCATCACAGAGCTTCAGAATGCAACCCTATGGCTAGTGTACATTGACATTGCCTCTGGACATTTCATGCCACCACAAATTCTGTCACCTTCTAGAGTAGAGGAAGGGTAGGAGACTGACAGCCAGGTCCCAGCTGGTATCAGGCTTCTAGGAGAAATCACTTTTTAAGTTTTTATTTTATTATTATTTTTATTTTGACACAGGGTCTCACTATGTAGTTCAGGTAGCCCTTGAACTCATTATATAGCCCAGGCTGGCCTGGAACTCCCAGAGATCCTCCTGGCTCAGCCTCCCCAGTGCAGGGATTATGGGCATGTGCCACTGCACCTGATGGGAAATCACATTCCCAAAGTGGACCCTGTGATCTATGAGAAGCAGTGTATCCAAATGTGAATAAACTAGTGCCCCTTCACCGCCCCATGAGGGAACCAGGCAGGCACAGCTTTTGCTGCCAAAACTCTGAGATTCTTTTTAGGAGTCTTTTGTTTGTTTTTGTGGGGGTTTGTTTGTTTGTTTCAGTACCAGGGATCGAACTCAGGACCTTTCGCTTACAGGCCAGGTGCAGCGCTAAGTCCCTGGCCCTGTTTGTTTGGTTTTGAGATGAGGTCTTACTATGTTATCCAGGCTGATCTCGAAATCACTATCCTCCTGCCTCAGCATCCCAAGTGCTGGGATGACAGGTGTGCAGTACTTCCTGGCCGGATTCTTCTTTTGATTGGCCATTGTAGGTAGAACCTTTCAGGATAACCCCACCTAGAGCCGCATCATGGCTCATGTTTCCTGAGTTCCTATTACATGATGGGCTTCATGTAATTATTTAATTTTTTTGTTTGTTTTTTGTTTATGGTACCGGGGATCGAACTCAGGTCCTTGTACTTGCACAGCAGGCAGCAAAACCACTAAGCTAAATCCCCGGCCCTAATTATTTAATTTTTACAACACCCTTGTGAGGTGGAAGTCGATCCCACCCTGAGGCCAGTGAGTGACAAAGTGAGGTATGGAGAGCTGCAGTGGCTTGGCCAGGCTCATGCAGTAGTTCAGTGATGACCCTAGGATTAGGATGCAGGCATCTGAAAGCTACAATGATAGAGCCTACACATAACAACCACACTGTTAGCCTTGAAGACCCCAAAGTCCCACAAAGACTCCGTGCAAAGATGTTTTCATGAAGACGTGTAGGAAGTACGGAATCATTCTGGCTGGCTGTCAGGGAAGGATGATCTAGGCCAAAGGAGTGACACTCAGCCCATTACTGCCACACTGCTGTGAACAGACTGACTGAGAAGGTTGTGTTTTATCTGCCTTCCTCGAACCTGTACCTATCTAATTCAAAAGTACATTAGGTTACAACAGACACAAGGCCAAAGTTATTCTAATATTCAGCTGTCCTGTAAAGCAGAAAATGAGAAACCCAGATCTGAATCTCCCAAGAGTAAATTACAAGAAGCAGAAGAGATTTGACAGTGGGTAAACTGGTGCTGCTTAGGCTATCGCATAGGTCCCAATTTCTGCACATGGTTACAAAGGGATAATTAAGAGATTTGAGCACCTGTAGCATGAACTTCCTGTTTGTGGTTCTCATTTCCTCCAAAACAGATTACCTCCTGGCCAGTTGGTGAAAGATGGCCCAGGTTTACCTTGAAAGACCTGGGGCTTGTTTGTGAAATGAGATGGAGCAAATAGATAATAAGAAGTCCAAGTTCGAGAGAGGGAAACCACAGAATGGCAGTTCTGCAATGCTGTGGTATTGGATAAATCCAGGGAAGGATACCTCACCCAAGGAAGACCAGTGTCCCCCGTCCTCTCATACTTGCCTGTCTGTTCAGCCTTTGATCTGCTCATCCCAAAGAGGCAGGCAGAGCCGGAGGAGGATGGACTTGCTATAGGCTCCGCCTTCTCTAGGCTCCAAACCTGTGACCTGCCAGCTTCAGAGATCCAAGAAACCAGGGTTGAAGGCAGGATGCTCAAGATGTGGGCTGGAACATGGGGACTTGGGTCCTACCCCCAAGGTGGCTCCACGTCTGTAGAAGGGATTCTCACTACTGCAGGGAAGATCCTATGTAGCCCTCAATCTCTCTCTTTGGGGAGTCTCCTGTTTCCCACTCTTGTTTATAGAGGTACTTTGTAAGTGGGACCTGGGCCACAAAAGGCCCCATCCTGAGCTCTTGGATATACAAATGCCTACATGACTGTGGTAGGCATTTCCCAAGCATTGAGAATATTGGGAGTCAGCTGAGGACTTAGTCCTGTTCAGATCAGAAGGAAAGTGTCATTATCATGTCTCTGGGGACATTCCCTTCCTACAAGTGGCTCACTTCTCCCTCCACTCCATCGTGCCTCACCCTCATTCTGTCTTTAAACAACCAATTTTATCTCTTATCTCCCTTCTTTAAAAGCCTTCAAACCCCTTCCTTTTTTTTTCTTCTATGCAGTGCTGGGAATGGAACCCAAGGCTTTGCACATGCTGGGCAAGCGTTTCACCACTGAGCTACATCTCCAGCCCTATAGACTCCCTGTTTCACTTCTTGGTCTCACGTGATGCTTCAGAGCCCTCTCACCTCTTTGACCTCATCTCTTGCCACCCTACCCCCCCAATCCCTGCCAGTCCTCAGCACCAAGCTCACTGATCCTCAGGGTCTTTGTATGTGTGGTGATTTCCTCACTAGACTAGAGCTAGGCCTGGCTCTTCCACAGATGGTGGCTTCAGCTCCATGAGGTATCTGCTGAGATTACCCATCCTCAGAGACCTCTCTGTACTCAGACCAGTCTTGAGAGAGTCCCAAGCACATTGTTACATCCTTGCTTGCTTATCTTCTCAGCACATAGCACTGCCAAGAACTATTTCTGTACTCACTTTTGTCCTTTATGCCTCTGTCCCTGAGGTGAGCTGTGTTTGTGGGAGGGTTGATCTGTTCGGGCTGTATGTCCAGCAGCCAGAATTGTGTCTTCTACTGATAATCGGCTGTGTGGAGAGGTTGTGTGTTCAGCCCATGCCAGCACCTATCTGCTTGTACAGTGACTCCACCCCCACCCTCTATTCGGCCAGCAAGAGTTTTAACCCATTTTTCTTGACTACAGAAGATAAACAAGTAATAGCAACCAGTATACAAAACAGAGTATTTTGAAGTCATGACTGCTTTATCAGGATTTCTGAATGTATTCTTTCTCAGCTATATCAGATCACTGTGCCCATGACAACACTGGAGGCCCAGAAGTAGGGAAATCATTTCTGTGTGCATATTAGTTTAAGTTTTTAAGTGCATGAATGCAGTTTTCTGCATCTTCCACCCCCTGTCCTACCATATGCACACCTCTGATGTTGTATGCACTGCTGCTTTATAGAGCCACAGACTCAGTGAAAGTCAAGCAGGTATAATTGAGTCTGAGGCTGCACAGGCAGCACGCTGCCCAAGGGGAGCATAGCTTGAGCCTGTGTGCCTGCCGTGAACCTTAGCATGGAGTACCTAAGCATGTGGGCAGCCACAGGGTGTTTGGTAAGCCGTCATCCCAGGCCTGGGGAGGACAGGAAGGTAGTCTTTCCTGTTGGGCACATCTAGTCACCACGGAGCCTAACTCCATGCTTCTTGGCCAAGGTGAGCACTGGGGTCAGAAAGCAGTGCCATCCTGCTGTTCCTGAAGCCTCTCTGCCCTGTGGTCTTCAAATCTGGGGCAGAGGCAGGCAACAGAAAAGGTTCTGTATGTGTCCAGGAGGGCACACATGGTTTGTATGGTCACTGCAGAGGTTGTGACTAAAAGTCCCATGCTCTCCCTGATAGGGTTAGCTTCTCTTCTTGGCAGTGGTGCGGTGTATAGCCAGCTGCAGATTTCGGTGCCCCCAGCTCTAGGCATAGGCTATGGTTACCAATAGGTGGCCACCCTGTATCTTCCCACTTAACACATAGAAGGTCCCTGCCTGGCTTCCTTGAAGGAAGTTGTGCATACATTTGAGATCTAGCTGCACCTTGTTAGTGTTGCAGGGTGGGAACCAACTCGGTTGGGCAGTGATTCTGTCTTCGACACCTCTAGTCTTAAGTCAGGTTCCTGGGGATGCCACCCTCCGTAACAGAATTTCTGGCTTGTTTGTTTCATTTTTGTTTTTGTAACATCCAAGTTTGGTTTTTTGTTTTGGTTTGGTTTTTTTATAATAAACCATGTTTGTAAAGGAATTTATTTTTTAGCTGTTACCAGGCAAAACATTTGCAGTTCCCTCTTTCATTTGCCCTAGTATGCAACACAGACACCATGGCCCACAGAGAAACATCCACAGTGCAAGATTGCTGGCCAGGGGTAGCCACAGTGAGGCGAGCTAGGCTGCAGCATGGATAGATGACCCTGCAGGGTGGAGGGAAATGGTGGTGGTAGGTGGAGCCTCTGGTGCTTCTAGTGCTGCCCTGGCCCAGAACTCTCCCTGGTTGCTGGGCAACAATACTCTGGTCACCTAGCAACAGCCTAGCTTTCTGGCTTTCTCTGCTTGCACATATCACAGCGTTCAGCCCTCTCTTCTTGGTCTCATGTCCCCAGATTTTCTCCCTTAACTCAGGCTTTTTTCCAGTTTTCCAGAACACCTTCCCATCCCCCAGCTCCTGGCCATCCAGTGTACGAAGAGGGTATGGAGGGCCCTGAATGTGCCTGTAATCACCCGCAAGGGAGAAATCAGGCTCCTCTCTCTTGTCCTGAAAGGCTTTCAGGACACAACAGTCCTTGGCTAGGGCTGGGGCTGACACAGAGTCTAAATGAGCCCATTCTTGCTGCTGCTGACATTACCCAGAGGCTCTTGCGAAGGCCTTGTTCTGCAGAGTAGGAGCTGGGGGAAATATTGTTCACAGGATAGGTTAACCAGAAGAACAGCCTTGTGACCACTGGGATCTGGGAGAAACAGCTCCTGGGAGGGGTAGGGGCTCAGCTCCCCCTCTTGCCAGCATCCCTGAGGTGGATAGAGCTTCCATGCCTTGCTGGAAAGTGACTTTCAGCCCCCAGCCTGAAGCAGCCTGCAGCCTGCCGTACCTTGACATGCAAGAGCCTTAGATGGTTTGTGGTTATAGACCAAGGGTCCAAGCCCACATGCTCACTATTGGTGGTCCCTTGATGGTCCCATAGGCATTGCTTCTCTGGCCAGAAACAGTCTTATAAAACAATCCTTCATTTTCCTCTCTTCCTTTTCAGCATCCAGCACACTGTTAAGTGGTCAGAGGATTAGTGAAGAGCTGAGCTGCTCTAGGAGGCCTTAGCTAAAGATACCCATCAAGGACTTGGGAGCCCCTGCCCTACAGGGGCAAAGAGGGAGCGGAAGAAGAGGTGGGCATTGGGGTGGCACTCCCAGGCAAGCAGGGACAACCAGCGGACCGACTGCTGGATGGCCTCAGCTGCTGTGTTGTGGTCCAGCATGTTGGGCAGCTGCATCTCTATATAGCCAGTGTTGTAGCACAGTGCCAAAGCTTGGGGGATGAGCATGCACTGGGGACCCCCTAGTGTGCCATGGCTCCATGGCATTGTTAGCACCGCCAGCATCCACAGCCCTGTCTCCTCTCCATCACCTGATTCTCTGCCCTATCCTTGATGAGTTGAGTTTGAGGACCTCATAGGGCAGTACTCACTCCTGCAGATGTTTGCAAAGCTCCTGGTTAGGCTCCAACATGATGACTGTGCTGTTTGCTTTTAGCACAGCCATCGTAGAGGTGATAAAGGCAGCATTTCCACTGGCCTGTGGATTACTGGCACCTAATAAACCTCTGTCTGTCTGTCTGTCTCTCTCTCTCTCTCTCTCTCTCTCCCTCCCTCCCCTTCCCTCTCTCCCTCCCTCCCTCCCTCCCCTCTCAACCCTTTCTTCCTTTTTTATCTTATATGTTAAGCAATCCAGAGGTGACTGTTGATAGCAGTTTGGTGTAACCATTGTCCAGCAGTGCTGGCTCCCAGTGGCTGGCTCATGCCCTTCTTGGGCTTGGTGGTTTTCAGGGTTGTGCAGGCTGGGGTTGGGAGTGTTTGTTCTGTCCTCGGTGTCATCACCTGTGATCATATCAACTACCCCTGGAAGCTGCATCTGGGTGTGAGTGTAGATTCTGGGTACAGCAGCCAGGGGCCCTGGGCAAGTCACTGATGGGATTGGAAGGGTGACTGTAGGGATTAAGGAGTGGGTTATTGCAGGAAATTTTTAGGACAGTTAGTGTGTGGACTGAGTCTGCACTGCATGTGGTCTGCTATGATCACTATTTTTTGTTAAATGGTTCTGGAGATTAAACCCAAAGCCTTTGCTTTGAGCTACATGCCAGTCTTCTTATTTTATTTTGAGATAGGGTCTCACTAAACAGTCACCAAGTTGCTCAGGCTGGGTTCCCAAGCTGCTATGATCACTACTTAAAACTGCTCCCATCCTGAGGCCATTTTCCTTCTTGGCAGTGACTGGATACCCCCTACCTCCAGTACTGGGGACTGAATCCACCGATCCAGGGGCACTCCATTATTGAGCTACTTACTCCCCAGTTCTTTTTTGTAGACAGGGTCTCACTATATAATTCAGGCTGGCCTTGAACTCACTATGTAGCCCAGGCTGGCCTCAAACTTGCAGCAGTTCTCCTGCCTCAGCCTTCCAAGTGCTGGGATTACAGGCATGCACCACCACACCCAACGTTGTTCATTTTTATTTGAATAGCACTAAAAAGCAAAAATTAGAGCAAGAACCAGCCACAATCTCCCTACTCTTAAAATATGTCTTCAGCAAAAAGAAGAGACAAACCCTAACCCTTAGGTCTACTTTCAGACCTTCAGGCACCCCAAGGTGGGGGATTAGCCCATCTCCAGCTTACCTCCCAGGACCCCCTTGGAAAATGTGTTGTGGTCATGAATGAGAGACCCCACATGCCAAATCTCAGCCAGCCTTGGCAGGATACCTCACCTTGACATAGGGTCCAGAGCATACGTAAAGGGTGTGTAAAGTCCTCCAGTCCTGGGAGCCACCTGGAAGCACCCTAGAAACCCTGCAGGGAGGAAGACACTAGGTGCACAGTGCCTCAGTTCAGTGTGTGGCCTCACCTACCCGTCTCCTGGCAGAAATTCCTGGCTTCCTGAGTGATGAGGAGTGTCGGCTCATCATCCACCTGGCACAGATGAAGGGGTTACAGCGCAGCCAGATCCTGTCCACTGAAGAGTATGAGGAAGCCATGAGCACTGTGCAGGTCAGCCAGCTGGACCTCTTCCAGCTGCTGGACCAGAACCACGATGGTCTCCTACAACTCCGAGAGGTTGGGACCTGGGGCCTAAGTAGGCACAGGGTGGGTGCGCCTATAAGTACTTCTTTGATGGTGTGGCACTTGTTGAGCTCAGCTCTGACCCTCACAGGTGGAGGCTCCTACAGGCCTGTGTGGGCATCCCAAGACCAAGGGCCCCCTTTCTTTTGTAGAGAGGCCCTCCCTTGCTGCTCTGGATATGCCAGAGGATGGGAGGAGGATCCATTAAGGGTGATGGAATTTATCACCACAGATTTTTTGTTTTTGTTTTTGTTGAGGTAGAGTCTTGCTATGTAGTTCAGGCTGGCCTTGAACTCACTATGTAGCTCAGGCTGGCCTCGAACTCCTGACAATCCTTCTGCCTCACCCTCCCAAGTACTGGGATCACAGGTGTGCACCATCACACCTGGCTGCACCAGTTTTTGAGTGCTGTTCCTTCTGTGGACTGGATTTCTTGCTATGATAGCTGGGGGCTCCTCAGAACTCATGATGGATGGTGGGGGGCAGCTCTAAGGTGGCCAACATTTCTCTGTATGCCCCTCACACCTGAACTGCTGAGAGAAGTCTGGCAGTATTGAGGATTCCATTGTTCACACAGCACTGCACTTAACATGGCCTTCTTGAGGGTCCCAGTAGCCAGGTCCTGGCCTGGGGGGTATGTGTATGTGACACAGGCATCTTTCTTTCCGCCTCTAGCCAGCAGTACTTCTGAAGTATTGGGTTGAGAAAGCCAGTGGCTCCCAGGCCTCTCACTGTTTCCTGGCCAGCTCCTCAAAGGCCTCTGGACCTGCCTGTCATCTCTCCTTTCAGCTTGGGAACCTCAGGCTCTGTCTTGTGTTTTCACCCATGTCCCATCACTGGACCCCTTAGCTCTACCGCAAGAATTGGGCCATATGGCTCTTTACCACTGGAGTCACCCCATTGAGGGACCCTCTTGTGCTTTAGGTCCTGGCCCAGACTCGCCTGGGAAATGGATGGTGGATGACTCCAGAGAACATTCAAGAGATGTACTCTGCGATCAAGGCAGATCCCAATGGTGATGGTGAGCATACACCCCTCCATAGTGTAGTCCCTTGAGTTGCCTCCTCCCAGCTGTACCATCTTAAAAGCTGGGGCCCTTCCCCCACTGCTGGCAGCCTCCATCCCAGCTCCCATAGTGACTTCAGGTGAGGAAGGGAGGAACCAGCTCTTCCCTTTATCCCTAGGAAGCAGGCAGGCAGCCAGATCTCTCATTGTTCTTGGTGACAGTCTTTTGACTCCCTGAAGGAATGTAGAATCGAGGACACAGGAAGTTGGGCTACTAGTAGGTAGAGGGCAGAGGACATAGAGTCAGAGCGAGGAAACAGTGAACCCAGCCAGTTTGGGTTTGGCTGTTCTCCTTGCTCCATGCACCTTTCCAGACGGGCACTGGGTCCACCCCATCACAGCCTCCCTGCTCTATGCAAGGCCTCCCTGACCTTCCTTCAGCCCAGCTGGAGTCTTGCTGAAATATCAAAGTGCTAGTGTTACTAACTATTGGGGGCAGGTGTGGGTCCAGGGGAGTTGTCATGCAAGGGTCTCAGACACCTTTGATAATAACCCTTAAAAGCTTTCTGGAGCTGGGCTTGGTGGTGCACACCTGTGATCCCAGCACTTGGGAGGCTCAAACAGGAGGACAGATGCAAGTTCTAGGCCAGCCTAGAATACATAAGCAAGACCCTGCTCCCCCCTACCAAAAAAAAAGAAAAAAGAAAAAAAAAGGGGTTTCTGAAGTGTAATCTTCACCTTTGTGCCCAAATTCTGGACCAGCTGAGGAAGAGACAGAAGTCAAATAGGACTTGGAAGCATGGCCTAAGCCTGGTGAACCTGGAGTGAAGAATTAGGAGGCTAGGACTTGAGGCCTGAGAACTGTCATACTGCCCTCAGCACAGAGCTGGGATCAGATGCACAGCCCTTGAATGGCCCTCACCCTCACAGGGCCAAAGGGGTAAGAGGTCTCCTTCAGATCAGCCAGAGCAAGATAACGCGGAGCAAAGACCACTGCTCTTCTGCAGCCCCAAGAGGGTAGAGCCTTGCTTTGTGGTTTGGGGAGAGGGTATTCCTCACTGGGCCAGGTGTCTGGCTTTCTCTACTAAGGTGGACTGGTCACCCAGTAGGGAGTACTGGCCAGGTGGGTTCCACCCAGGATGGGCCCTGGGGTCATGAGGGAGACTCTGGGACAGGCCCTGCTTGCACCCTACAGTGGAAGGCCCTGGCAGAGACCCAGCATCAGCTTTGCTCTCCTAGGCCTCTACAGGTTGGCATGTGTACATCACACTCTAGAGCCCTCAGAGTTCCAAGGTCACCTGTGGCCCATTCAGCCCTATGCTCATGCTTCCTCTGGAGGCTCTGCTGTGGCACTCTAATAGGGGTTGTGCTTCTTCCTTTTGGGGCCCAAATCAAGGCTTAAACTGAGAAAATGAACTTCTCTGGGTCTTCCCTTAGGGCCCGATGTGACAGAAACCAGGTTCATCTGACCCAAGAGTCGAGGTGGGGACAAGTGCACATGGTCCCCAGGGCCAGGGCTGCTGCCGCCTTTGGGGTAGGTAGGGAGGTGCTGCCTGCCACTGGTCTCTCCACGTTGGCCTGGCAGTCACTAACGATAGTGCCCTGTGCAGGAGTGCTGAGTCTGCAGGAGTTCTCCAACATGGACCTTCGGGACTTCCACATGTACATGAGGAGCCACAAAGGGGAGTCCAGCGAGCTGGTGCGGAACAGCCACCACACATGGCTCTACCAGGGGGAGGGTGCCCACCACATCATGCGTGCCATCCGCCAGAGGTGAGCAGCTGGGGCTGCCTCCCCAGGGCAGGGCCTCCACAGAGGTCCATGGGTGGGGCCAGAAGAACAGAATTCACTAGCTGATTCAGGATTAAATTACATTCTTAGACCAAGATGGGGCCCACTGGAAGACAGGCAATTAACACAAGCAAATTAAACCTAGTTGTGGGCAAACAGTATACAATTGGGATTAGAAATCAAGCTTTTGTTTCCTGCTAATTAGAGAAATGACTCCTTATCTCTGCCCATAAGGGCCCCTAACCCTGGCCAGCAAGGCTTTTAAATAAGTAGCCTGGTTACTGAGAGGAGGGTCTCAATTCCTCCCAATTAAGTAGAAACCTCCTTGCCACACAGTGGGTGTCTCCATCCCTGTCATCCGGGGAAAAAGGCTCATCATGTGTGACCCCTGCCTGTTCTTACAGGACCAGTCTAGGATGACTCAAGGAGCTTCTAAGGGGGTGGTCAAGGGAAGAGCTTATGGCAGGCCCAGGGTCGACCGTGCCAGCTCCTTAACAAATTGCCTTGGATGGGGCTGCCCACCAGAGTGCTGCATCTCACTCGCCTGTCACCTGAGATCGTGGAACTCAGTGAGCCGCTGCAGGTTGTGCGATACAGTGAGGGAGGCCACTACCATGCCCATTTGGACAGCGGGCCTGTGTACCCAGAGACCATCTGCTCTCATACCAAGCTGGTAGCCAACGAGTCTGTACCCTTCGAGACCTCCTGTCGGCAAGTACCTTCCACCTAGGAGCTGGCTTTGATTCCCCAAACAGGTACCCCCATGACAGTCACAGCCTGGCCCTGTGGGCGTGCCCCTTGACAATGGCATGGGGCCCAGAGTACCCTGGACCACTCTGGTCAATGATGCCCTTATCTCTCCCCTGAGTTGTTTACTGAATTACAGGAAATGGGTGGCTACTGACCATTGTGCCCACTTGAGTTAACACAGACCCAGATACCCCAGGCACCAAAACTTGCCCCCAGAGCTCTAAAGTAAGGGTCAAGGCTGGGCTCCTAGCTCCTTCTGTCCCTTCCCGCAGATATGGATCTTGACTCAACTGTTGAGGTCTTCAGTCTCAGATTCTAAAGTTGTGCCCACCTCCCCTGCCTAGGTACAGGATTAGGTCTCTTCATGTGGCTCTTCCAGTCCTCAAGACCTTTTGCATGATTTTTCTGCTTCTACTAGCTTGCCTTTCCCAGCCAGGCTCTTGGTAAGGGTCATGTAATTTAGCTAGTAAGTGTGATCTTGGCCAGAGACATTGGCACACATATTCAAAGACTGGATTTGTGGGTACTGGCCTACCCTGTTGTCATCCATCACCACCTAGCCCTCTGGCCTCTGGGAACCTGAGCAGCTTATTCTGCCCACATGTAAGCCCTGGGAATGTGCTAAACTGGGACCCTGCTCAGCAGCCCCCCTGTCTTACAGCTACATGACAGTGCTGTTTTATTTGAACAATGTCACCAGTGGGGGCGAGACTGTCTTCCCTGTAGCAGATAACAGAACCTACGATGAAATGGTAAGGGCTAACTGGGTTGGGGTTAGGGGTTGGCAGGACCTTGGGCAAATGTAGTACACATCTGGGTGCTTGGGTATACAGTGGGAATTCTGGGGAAGTTGGCCTGAAAACTCCATCATTTTGGCTGTCCACAGAGTCTGATTCAGGATGATGTTGACCTCCGTGACACACGGAGGCACTGTGACAAAGGGAACCTTCGTGTCAAGCCTCAGCAAGGCACAGCAGTCTTCTGGTACAACTACTTGCCTGATGGGCAAGGTGAGGGTCTATGGCCAGGCATGGGGGTTCCCTGAGGGCAGCTTCCCTTTATGGAGCCCCTTATGCCACCCTGGAGGGTCTGTTCCTGGCTGCCATCCAAATGCTTTTCTAGCCTGGGCCTCCCAGAGCCCATCCTGTAGTGACGGCTATAGGCTACCCCAGCACTAGTGCCACTCCCGGTTATCTCAACCTCTGTCATTCCCTGATACCTCAACCTTACTGCTCTCTGGAGCTGGGACATGTCCCTCGCCAGCCCAGACTGCAGAGTTGTGGACAGGCACAGCGGTAAAAGTAGTTTCAGAAGGCCAGTGGTGTTGACTGTACATTAGCGGGGTGAAATCCTGAGCCCCCAAGGAAGCCATGGCGTTGGGTGTTAGCTGCCCCGAGGCTTGGACCCACCCTTGCTTTGTCCTCCACCTGTCTGGGGCCAAGCACAGGCCAGCCCAGCCCGGCCGGAGGCCCCTCACATCCTGTCCTGTGCTCATGCCATACTCCTTTCTAGGTTGGGTGGGCGACGTGGATGACTACTCGTTGCACGGGGGGTGCCTCGTCACACGCGGCACCAAATGGATTGCCAACAATTGGATCAATGTGGACCCCAGCCGGGCACGACAAGCCCTGTTCCAGCAGGAGATGGCACGCCTATCCCGCGAAGGCGGCGCCAACTCGCAGCCCGAATGGGCCCTGGACCGAGCCTACCGCGACGCGCGCGTGGAGCTCTAAAGGGAGGGTCAGCCAGACTCCCACTGAGCCGCGCACCCCCAGGTCGTGGGCTTGGCTCTCGTCCTCTACAACTGCAAAGTCCTGGCCGATATCTTGTCCCGAGCCTGCCTGCAGCCGCGATTTCGGCCCAGTTCCCGTGTTCGTGTTATTTATTATGTGCGGACCCCATGCTGCTCGGTCAAATAAACTCCTGTGGCTTCTAGTTGCCGGGCAGACTAGCTCTGGGTCGGTGGAGGATGGGAGAGGAGGCGGGCGGCCTGAGCCGGTGTGGCTCCGTCCTCACATTTCGCCAATCAGAAGCCGGGCTGCTCGAGGGGAAGGTCTTCATTGGGCCCAAGCCGCAGGTCCGGCTAAGGGCGGGCGCCGCGGATCTCTAGTTCTCGCGAGAGTGCAGGTGTCTTCGCCGCGGAGGCAGCGGGGCCAGAGGATCGACATGGATGCTCTCGGAGACTACGTGTGGCCGCGGGCGACCTCCGAGCTCATACTCCTCCCGGTTACGGGGCTGGAGTGTGTGGGGGACCGGTTATTAGCGGGTGAGATTCGACTCGAGACTCGCTGGCGAAGAAATTGAGCACCCCAGTGGGTCGGGGTACAAGGACAAAAGGATGCTAGGGTGGGGTGGGCGGCGGGCTGAGGCCGGCCGGGAACGAGGGCCATTCCGAGGAGGGCGGGCAAAGGTGGTGTGGCCCTTACAGCCTTTCTTCAACACTGCAGCCCAGTTGCGGGGAGACGCGGCTTGGGGAAGAATGGGCAGCCCTCCGAGGTTATGCGGCGAGCGGAGGGAGGTGTGGGGGCGTGGTCCAAGGGGTGTGTCGGGGCGGGGCATCACCGGGAGGCTGAGGAGTGGAAGGCCCTTAAAGAGTGTCGGGGAAAATTGCCTATGAGACCTTTTTGAGTAAGGCAGTGCTCAGAGAGGCGGGCGCTGGGGTCCCACCGAGGACTGGCTCAGAAGGCACCGGCCTGTGGCTGGCTGCAGAGGCTTGGATCTGCGGTGTCAGGATCCTGGGAAGCAGTACGGCCTGATAGGAAGCCACTAGTGACCGATGATACTGAGTGTTTTATAAGGGTTCCAAGGCCAGGTGCCGGCTGTCAGGCCTTGAGTGAGCAGCCACTAGCCCTAAGAGGGGCGTGTGCGTGTACGAGTGGTGCGTGTACGAGTGCTTTGATCTGCTGTGGCGGATCTGGAAGTACAAAATTCTGCAATGAGCTAAAATCCTAAAGATTGTTGAGGAAACAGCTAAAGTAGAACCAAAGATAAGTTCCTGGCAGACGGTGGGCTTGTCAAAGCCCTTGAGGCTGGGAGAATTTGTCGTTTTGGGGCAAAGAATTCTGTTGAGTCTGGAGCCGGTGTGGGGCCTGGGGGGAAAAGTAGCTGGAAAAGGAAGCAGAGGCTAGAGTGTTTTAGACCTTCATCTGACCTTATCACTAAAGGCAATGAAGAGGACTCACTACAGGTTTTGTTATTTAAGATTTTAATTTTTTGGTTTTTTTGTGGAGCTGGTGTGGAACCCAGAACCATGAGAAGGGGCATGCTAGGCAAGCACTCTACCAGTGAGCTGCATCCCCAGGCCAATTTTTTTTTAAGGGGGAAATAATTTATTCTTTCTTTCTTAAAGTCAGATGTAGAGCTGGGGGTGTTCTTCAGTGAAGGCCCTGGGTTCCTTCCCCACCATTGAGAAAGGGGCAGGGTAGCTACAGGCATTGCCAGATCTACTCACTGGGTCCAAAAGACTCCACATTTCTCCACATCTTGGCCTCTCTCTCTGAATTCTTGGCTGTTGGCTCCATTTTCAGCCAACTTTACCCTTATGACTCCACTTAAGGCTTTAAGTTGAGAATGACTTGGAAAATGTAAGTTAGAAAGCACAATTAATGTTTTCTTATGACATTTTATAGTATAATTCTTTACTTTTTTTTTTTTTATTGGTGCTGGGTATTGAATCCAGAGTCTCATACATGCTATAACTATCATGAAGCTACAGACTAAACCCATAGCTACAGTTCTTTTGTTTTTGTTTTTGGTACCAGGGATCAAACTCAGATCCTTGAGCTTGCAAGGCAGGTGGTGGAACCACTGAGCTAAATCCCTGGCCCTTAGCTACAGTTCTTTGTTGGTGGTGGTGGTGGTGGTGATGGTGGAGGTGGTGGTTTTTTGAGACAGGATCTCGCTATGTACTTCAGGCTGGCTTCAAACTCATGAAGATCCTTCTGCCTCAGCCTCAAGAGTACTGGAATAACAGGCATGTGCCACCACACTTGGCAGCTACAATTCTTAAATTCTATCCATGTGGCTGAGTGTGGTGGTGCAGACCTGTAATCCCAGCTTTCTAGAAGGCTGAAGCAGGAGGATTGAAAATTAAAACCCAGCCTGGGCAACTTGGCAACTTAGCAAGACCTTATCTCAGAATAAAAGATGAAAAAGAGTGAAAGTGTTGAAGATATAGCTCAGTGAGAAGGCCTTGAGTTTGATTCTCAGTACAGAAAAGCAAGTCATTGATAGGGCCAGGGATTTAGCTCAGTGGTTTCACCACCTGCTGCGCAAGTGCAAGGGCCCGAGTTCGATCCCCAGTACCAAAAAAAAAAGTCATTGATGAAGGGAACAGAGAGTTGCACTGCAAAACTGAGTTCAGCTGGGCCGGGTGTGGTGGTGCACACCTGTGAGCCCAGCATTCAGGAGGCTGAGGCAGGAGGATCTCTGCGAGTTTGAAGCCAGCCTGGACTACATAGTAAGTTCAAGGCCAGCCTGAACTACATAATGAGACCTTGTCTAAAAAAAGAAAAGAAAAAAAAAAGGCAAGTCCACCTGAAGCTGAGACCAAGGGTTTTCTAAGGTTCAAGCTGTGGTATTTTGCTGATACATCCATAGGCTACATGCTGAGAAGTCTCGCTGCCCCATCTCTTCTCTATGGATCATCAGAGTTAGGTGAGCAGTTCTGATGTGGCTCTTTGGCTCTGTCTAGGTGAGGGGCCTGATGTCCTGGTATACAGCTTGGACTTTGGTGGGCATCTGCGGATGATGAAGAGAGTGCAGAACCTGCTTGGCCACTATCTTATCCATGGGTTCCGGGTTCGACCAGAGCCCAATGGAGACCTGGACTCAGAGGCCATGATAGCTGTATTTGGAAGCAAGGGACTCAGAATTGTGAAGATTAGCTGGGGTCAGAGCCGCTTCCGGGAGCTCTGGCGCTCTGGCCTATGGAACATGTCTGACTGGATCTGGGATGTACGCTGGCTTGAAGGTAATGTGGCCTTGGCCCTGGGTCACAACTCAGTGCTGCTGTATGACCCTGTGGTAGGATGCATGCTACAGGATGTACCCTGCACGGACAGATGCACCCTCTCCTCAGCCTGCCTGATTGGAGAGACTTGGAAGGAACTAACCATAGTGGCAGGCGCCGTTTCCAACCAGCTTCTAGTCTGGTACCCAGCAGCTGCTCTAGCAGACAACAAGCCTGTGGCACCTGACCGACGGATCAGTGGGCATGTAGGCGTCATCTTCAGCATGTCCTACCTGGAAAGCAAGGGCTTGCTAGCAACAGCTTCAGAAGACCGAAGTGTCCGTATCTGGAAAGTTGGTGACCTGCGGGTGCCTGGAGGTCGGGTGCAGAATATTGGACACTGCTTTGGACATAGTGCCCGTGTGTGGCAGGTCAAGCTGCTAGAGAATTACCTTATCAGTGCAGGTGAAGACTGTGTGTGCTTGGTGTGGAGTCATGAAGGTGAGATCCTCCAAGCCTTTCGGGGCCACCAGGGCCGTGGGATCCGGGCCTTGGCTGCTCATGAGAAACAGACCTGGGTTATCACTGGGGGTGATGACTCAGGCATTCGGCTGTGGCACCTGGCAGGACGTGGGTACCCGGGATTAGGGGTCTCGGCTCTCTGCTTCAAGTCCCCTAGCCGGCCAGGTACCCTCAAGGCCGTGACACTGGCTGGCTCTTGGCGACTGTTGGCAGTGACTGATACAGGCACCCTGTACTTCTATGACCTTGAGGTCAAATGTTGGGAGCAGCTGCTAGAGGATAAGCACTTCCAGTCTTACTGCTTGCTGGAGGCAGCTCCTGGTCCTGAAGGCTTTGGACTGTGTGCTATGGCCAATGGGGTAGGTTGCGTCAAGGTTGTCCCCATCAACACTCCAACTGCTGCTGTGAACTGTGCCCTATTCCCCGGGAAGGTCTATAGCCTGAGCTGGGCCCTGCGTGGCTATGAGGAGCTCCTGTTGCTGGCCTCTGGCCCTGGTGGAGTGGTAGCTTGCCTAGAGATCTCAGCTGCACCCTCTGGCAAGGCCATCTTTGTCACAGAACGTTGCCGGTACCTGCTGCCCCCGAGCAAGCAGAGATGGCACACATGCAGTGCTTTTGTGCCCCCAGGTGACTTCCTGGTGTGTGGAGACCGCAGAGGCTCTGTGCTCCTATTCCCCTCCAGACCAGGAGTGCTCAAGGACCCTGGGGTTGGAGGCAAGGCTGAGCCTGGAGCTGGGGCACTTGGAGGGGATGGTGGCACAGGTGGGGCTGAGAATGCTGTGGCTGAGTGGAGCCCTGTGTCTACCCTCCATTCTCTGCATGGGAAGCAGGGTGTGACCTCAGTCACCTGTCATGCTGGTTATGTGTATACCACAGGGAGGGATGGTGCCTACTACCAGCTCTTTGTGCGAGGCAGCCAGCTCCAGCCAGTCCTACGGCAGAAGACCTGTCGGGGCATGAACTGGGTTGCTGGGCTTCGAGTGGTGCCTGATGGGAGCATGGTCATCCTGGGTTTCCATGCCAACGAGTTTGTGGTGTGGAGCCCTCGGTCACATGAGAAGCTGCACGTGGTCAGCTGTGGAGGAGGCCACCGCTCCTGGGCCTTCTCCGATACTGAAGCAGCCATGGCTTTTGCCTACCTCAAGGATGGGGATGTCATGCTCTACCAGGCTCTGGGTGGCTGCACCCGGCCACATGTGATCCTCCGGGAGGGTCTGCATGGCCGGGAGATCACCTGTGTAAAACGTGTGGGTGCCATCATCCTGGAGCCTGAGTTTGAAGTGCCCAGCTTGGAGCAGCCTGACTACTTGGAGCCTGATAGCGAGGGGCCTGGCCTGACCGACATCGTGATCACCTGCAGTGAGGACACTACTGTCTGTGTCCTTGCACTCCCCACCACCACAGGCTCAGCCCATGCCCTCACAGCTGTCTGCAATCATATCTCCTCCGTGAGAGCTTTGGCTGTGTGGGGCCTCAGCACCCCAGGCGGCCCTCATGATCCTCAGCCAGGTCTGACTGCCAATGTAGTGTCTGCAGGTGGTCGAGCAGAGATGCACTGCTTCAGCATCATGGTCAGTCCTGACCCTAGCACCTCAAGCGGGCTTGCCTGCCACGTCATACACCTTTCATCCCACCGGCTAGATGAGTACTGGGACCAGCAGCCCAATCGGCATCGCAAGGTCAAGGTGGACCCTGAGACCAGGTAATGCAGACTCCCAGGCAGGAGTTCGAGGTGGGATTATGCAGGGCCAGGTGTCCCTACATTTGCAGGCTGCCCCTGACAGCTCTCGTTTCAGGTACATGTCCCTTGCTGTCTGTGAACTTGACCGCCCTGGCCTTGGCCCCCTTGTGGCTGTAGCCTGTAGTGATGGGGCAGTGAGGTGAGTGCACAGGGGCCTAGAGGGTGGAGACAAAGGGTGTGAGTGGTCCAGGATGAGTTCTGAGCTGGGCTACCCTCTGGCCCCCAGGCTCTTTCTCTTGCAGGACTCTGGGCGAATTCTGCAGCTTCTTGCTGAAACTTTCCACCACAAGCGCTGTGTCCTCAAGGTCCACTCCTTTACACATGAGGCACCCAACCAGCGGCGGTGAGGGGCTGCATGGTGGTCCTGCCTGGGTGGATGGGGAGTTCCTGTTGTTCTCCATCCATTTTACTCGCTTGGCTTCCCTGCCCTGGATTTCAGGCGGCTGTTCCTGTGCAGTGCAGCTACTGATGGCAACCTGGCCTTCTGGGACCTTACCACTGTGCTGGACAGTGGTTCTACTGTCCTTGAGCCTCCAGCAGACCCTGGCCTTCCCTGCCGTGAGTAACCAGTGTGCAACTGGGGCTACCTCTCCCCACCTCTCACTTTGCTCTCACACACAAGGGCCCTAAAACCCATCTTCTTTCTCTAGGGCTGGGCACTCCCTGCATGACGCTCCAGGCCCACAGCTGTGGTGTCAACAGCCTGCACACCTTGCCCACATGTGAAGGCCACCATCTTGTGGCTAGTGGCAGTGAGGATGGCTCCCTCCATGTCTTTGTGCTCGCTGTGGAGACACCAGAGGTGGAAGAAGCTGTGGGTGAGCCTGAGCTGGTGCCCCAGTTACATGTGCTAGAAGAATATTCTGTCCCCTGTGCACATGCTGCCCATGTGACAGGCCTCAAGATCCTGAGCCCCAGCCTCATGGTCTCAGCCTCCATTGACCAGCGTCTGACATTCTGGCGTCTGGGACATGGTGAGCCCACCTTCATGAACAGCACTGTGTACCATGTGCCAGATGTGGCTGACATGGACTGCTGGCCTGTGAGCCCCGAGTTTGGCCACCGCTGTGCTCTTGGGGGCCAAGGGCTTGAGGTTTACAACTGGTATGACTGAGATGTCCCACGGTGGCCAGTGTGCTGGGTATGGGGCCTGCTCACAGGCAGTGGAGCAGGGATCGACTGTCTGTGCCTGTGCCCAGCATGCCTCGAGGAGAGGCTGTGGCAGCCATGGGTTCCTGACTCCAGAGCAGGACTAGAGGTGAGTAGAGTGCTGCTTGGGTGGACAGAGAAGACACCCTGCTTCCTACCACAGGACAAAACTTTATAGCAAGCAATTTATTTTGATTCCAAGGTCCTAACATCTGTGGCTATTACTTTCTTTTCCCAGTTGATAATTTTGTAAACATTCCCAGATGTTGAGCTCTCTGTGACGTTAGATGTGGCTCAGTGGTGGGAGACCCAGCATAGCCAGGCCAGCGTGGAGCACCTCACGAATGGCTCTTAGAAGTTGCAGGCGGGCAAACATCTGACCAAAGAGATGTGGCCGAGCCTCCTGAAGGAGAAGGGACCTACTGGTCTCATCCTCTGCTTCCCTTGGCTTCACTCTGTAACCTTCTGCACCTCCCACACACCCCCTTTTGCTGTGCTCACCCCTAGGATGTGTACCCGGTTGTAGTATGAACTGAAGTCCATGCTGAGCTGTACCAAGAACTTGCATACCTAGAGATAGAGATTGAGTCACTGGCTTGTGTCTTTGGCCCAGAATAAAGTAGAATGTGTTGTGTCTGTCCTAGTGTTCTAAGACTCACTGTTTCTGTGCGAGCACTGATGTGGAGCCCTGGGCCAGTGCAGAACAGGCCTGCAATCTGGCTGAGCAGGTCCGGAAAGGGAAGGACACTATTGAAGAGCAGCAGCCACTCCCCCTGCAGGGGAGAAGGGTGCTGGGAGGGAAAGTCCAAGCCTCCTGCTTCTGCCAGCTACCCAAAAGGGGCACTCACCTCATCATGCAACAGTGAGAAGTCCAGACTTTTCACGGATGGAAAAGTGGGGTACAGACCTTGTTCCATATTGCGCTTGTAACCCTCAAAGAGTGTGGCAAGACGGGCACAGTTATACATGACAAAGATACCACTTTTTGTGCCCTTTGTGGAGATGATGTCAGCGAGGAGGAGCTGGGGAATGGAGGCAGAGCTGCGGAAAGGGCAGACACCACACCCTGTCACCCCAAAATCAGTCCTGTGAGATGCCCAGGCTCACCTGACTCTGTGGGGCTGTGCTCAGCATCTCAAACTTGATAGTGGCCACAGTGAGAAGCTCAGAGATCTCTGTCCATGCTGGGTCTGGGTGAGTATATATCATCAGTCTCTTTAGACAAGGAGCACGGAGGGGTACAAATGACCTGCCCCTATTCCAGGGCACAGCCAGGGTCTCCCAGGCGCACCTTGTGCCAGATCACTACCATGCTTCAGTGCTGAGGCCTTGCACACCTGGGCATGCCGGAGCCTGCATTTGTGAAGAGAAGACCCAGTGGGTACAGCCCAGCACAGACCCCTGTCCCCTATCTCAACTTCCCTGGCTGGGGTGGCCTTCCAGCCTCACTCACTCATAGTACTCAGGGGCAGTCATCAGAGTGCTGGGTGCACCAGCTACTTTCACTGGGCCACAGACCAGGTGCTTCTGTGGAAGAGAGCAGGGACTCAGCTCAGTTAGTGTTGCCCTGTAGCCATAGTCTCTTCAGGAACCAAAATCTGCTGCCTCTACTCCAGCCTGACCCACTCTCAATGTGTAACCACCAGGCTTGGTGCCTTGCAAGCCCAGCCCTTCAGAACACTATTCTTGAGTGTTCTTCAGACCTACCCCAAGAAGACTTCTGTACCCACTGGACATGCCAGCTCAGTAATTCAATCTCCCCTAATTTCTGAACCCATCAGCTAACAGGCTCTTGAGTTTTCAAGGACCCTCTGAGGTTGCAGGAACTCCACCATCAATAACCTACCTGTCTGAGAGGAGCCTGGTCATCCAATTTCCACCAAAGCAAGTCCAACTTTTGTTGCTGGAACTCCTCTTCACAGCTTACCACATGTATAACCATGCAGCTGTCTACATCAGAATCTGGGGGCTTACAAGGGAAGAGGGCAGTCACCGCAGAAATGCAGGCTATATGGTTTGCTAAAGGCCTGCAGGACCGGGAGTTACTAACCAGGACTGGGTAGTTGCCCTTGGGCCAATGCTGCACAGCTTCCTGCAGCTCAGCTAACACACACAGCAGCTCCTCAGTCACTGCAAAGAGAACACAGATGTTAAGGCTGCCCAGGTGGGCAGAGGTACACCCCTCCTTTCTGCTCTGATTGGCTCCAAGTCCCACCCAGGCACTTGTCCACGTTGGGGTCATAGCCAGCCCCACGGCCCTGTTCTTTCACCAGCTCCTTCAGGCCCAGTCTGCCCAAAACACCCGGGGGTAGTGTCTCCTGGTCTTGGGCAGAGGTGAACTTTGCAAGCACGAAGTCTCTTAGGGTTTCCGCCGGTGCATTTTTCGAGGCAGTGGGCCAGTCCACTCGCAGTTTCTGCAGAAAGGTTGGTAGGTGCGGGTCCTGCACTGCAGGAACTAAGCGCACACACACCCTGTAAAGAGAGGGGGAGGCCTCAGCCTGTGCAGCAGCTCCGTATTGCCAACCCTCTGCGCCACTTCACAGGTCCCTTTTCCACCCTGGCCTCGGCCTCCTTATACCCTTGACCGCGCAGAGCTCGCGCCAGGTGATCAGCCACGAGTACGGCCCGCAGCTGGCTCAAGCGGAGCGCGCCAGGACTGCAGCGCAGCGCTGGGCAGTGCAGGAGGATGCGCAGGCCTGGTGAAGCGCAGTTGGCCGGCGTAGCATAGGAGGCCACAGCGCCGAGGACGCGCTCAAAGACAACAGGCCGCTGAAGCTGGAGCGACAAGCCCGCGGGTGTCGGCGCGCAGCACAGTACTGGGGCCACCCCGGGGCCCTGCAAGCCGGCGAGGGCACGGAGCACATGCTCGGGCACCTGAGGGCAGACGAGTGGGTGAGCGGGCGCAGATTCCCGCCAGGCCTGTGGTACACATCCCGCCGGGCTCACACCCACCTGGCCGTCCCCGAAGCGCGCTTGTAGTGCGCGTCGCGGCGCCAGGAAATCTCGAACTCGCAGGTGCCGGGCATGTGTCTCTTTAAACCACACTGGGTCGCCAGGCCCTAAAGCCGCATTTAGGGCCCCTAGTGTCTCCCCTACTCCAAGACGTTCCGTCGCCATAGCGACCGGAAAGAGCTACCCGAACCGGAAGCAAATCGTCAGAGGCGGAACTTCCGGCAGCGCGGACGGAGAAGACTAGGCTCTGGCTGAGACCTGCGGTGAACAGGTGCGTCCGAGCTGAGGGGCGGTGCCAGCTTCCAGCCCTCGGCGCCCAGTGGGCAGGTTGCTTTGCTCCTGGACCCGAGTCCGAAACCTCGGGGCCCGCTCTCATCGCCCGACATTAGTAGTCAGAAAAGCATCCTCGCGACCGGGTTGAGGCTCAGGCCAGACGCCTAGTCATTAAAGTCTCATCTCTGTATGACGATGTTTCATTGCACCGTCCTAAACGTAATTAAGCGTCAGAGCCAGTTTTGGTGGCTAAAGTTTGTAACCCCAGCAGGCTAGGACGCAAGAGGATCGCAAGTTCGGGCCCAGCCTGGGTTAACAGCGAAACACTGTTCAAAATAAGGATGGAGGGGCCGGGGATTTAGCTCAAGGTCCCGAGTTCCATCCCCGGTACCAAAAAAAAAAAAAAAAAAAAAGCTTAGAACTCACAAAATAAGGGTGGAAATTTGGCTCAGTGCGAAGGCCCTGGGTTCAATCCCCAGTACAGAGAGCAAACAAACAAAAAAAAAACTGCCCTAAGTGTGTTGTCATTAGAAAAGACAGTAACATTAAAGACATACACTTTTACTACCCCCCCCCATCTTATTTTTAGCTGGGCGTGATAGAACATGTCTGTAATCCCAGCACTCTGAGACAGGAGGATCGAAAGATCTAGCCCAGCCTGGGCAATTTTAGCTTTTATCTTTGTTTGTTTTTTGAGACAGGGTCTCTGAATATAGTTAAGGCTAGCCTTAAACTATGTAGCCCAGAGCCTGGGTAATTTAGTAAAATAAAGACTAAAAGGCTGGTGATATAGCGCAGTGAGAAGACCCTGGGTCCAATCCCCATACAACAAATTTTCAAAATCTTGTATCTTGTGTTTGACAGTTTCAGGTTGTCTTTCCTCATTTGAGATATGGGTGTTATTTCTAATAAATACGCAGTTTGATAGAATTACTCAACTTTTCATGATACCTAATGAATTAGAAGTTTCAGATGGTTTCTAGAATTGCTAGCTTTTTTTTTAACACAAGCTTTGGCTACAGCATTCACGCTGGCCTTGAACTCATGGAGATCCTCCTGCCTCAGCCTCCCAAGTGCTGAGATTACAGACATGTATATTTCCACTTTACCCTGGTGTACAATACTTTGGCAGCGATCTATCTTTTTACCACTTCTTGATTTAGGAAACAAGCCCGTTTGGGCTAGTAAATCAAGGTGACCATGAGGAGACCCAGCCAAACAGACCTCAGTAGGCAGAGCCTGCTCTACCAGTGAGAAAGCCCTTTCCTCTGTCCCACAAGAGTTCCCAAACAGTTTCCTTTCAATGGAACACGACTTCCACTCTCTTCCTAACAGACTGAACCCAAGCCCTATCTCTGGTCTAGAGAAGCGGGGAGCCTGCAACTCAGGGAGGAGGGAAATCTAAGGACAGGAAGAGCTTAGTAAGGCCTCTTTCTGGGTCAAGGCTGTGGGACCTGCTGGAAGGTGCCGAAAGAGCACTGGGCGGACACGACATTCCCGATGGCTTCTCGGGTGCCCACTCAACGGGAGTGATCGTGTCATTCCAAAGCACTTTCTGCGCCGGAGGTGCACAGCCCGGACTCTTGACAGCAGAGATGGGCCCCGCCGGACTTAAGCTGCTCTCGGCCCACCAGACGGTTGCGGGGTGGTTTTCCCCAGGAAGTGCGAAGCTATCTTTAGGGAGGTGGGGTTGCCCAGCCCCACCTCGAGGACTGGGTCTTCCTCTCCAGCGCTCCCGGACAGATCAGGAGATGGACGTGGCCACCTCTGGTCCGGGTGCATCTGGAGGCACGAGACCAGAGCGGCACGGCAGTGTCTGGGCAGAGCGCTGCTCAGGCAGGAGAGCAGGGAACGAAATCCAAGCGCAGCTGGAATACTCTCTAGACAACAGCTGCTTTTGGGATTCCGTTGCCCGCTGTCCCGCCGCTGGAGGGGCACGTGCCCCAGCTCACCCGCCCCGGGGCCGGACCGGAACCGCCTATCCCAGTCCACTTCAGGGTGGACCTGGAGGAGGTGGTGTAATAGTCTGGTGAGAACAGAGCGCTCACCTGGGCCCCAAACAATACGAGGAAGGTGGGGGGCCTCCCCTGGGACCGAGTCCCAATCCGCATTAGATCCGCAAGGCAGTATTAGCCCTATCGCGGTCCCATGCAGCCGGTGCCCCTGGTGCGGTGACGGAGGCTGGGCGGGCTCGGGATCCGCCGGCAGGGAAGCGCCCGTGGGCTGGAGAGGAAGTCACCTGCGCAGACTTCGAGGACACCCGCGCCCAGGCCCTTTGTCCGGTGGCGCTGCCAGCGGCTGGAATGCCAGGGACCGCACGGGCCCACGCGGCGGCGACAGGACCCAGGGAGCCCATGGCGACTGGCCTAGGCCGATCCCCGCCAGGCCCAATGGGCCCCGCCTTCCGCCCGCATCAACCGCGGGCAGCGAGCGCGACAGTATCCCCGAGGGGTACGGAGAGCTGGCGCGCGGAAATGCCCGAACCCCGGACGCCAGAAGCTCTCGTGCCAGTAGGCCCCGGACTCTGCTCAAGACAGGGCTGGAGGACTGGGGGGTGCGCGAACAAAGTGGGCGAGGACAGGCTGGCTCTCCGGTGCTGTCTAGTTCCCGTCCGCTCCAGTCCGGCCCGATCCGTCGACGGCAAACAGCTACCACGGCTACCCCAGCCACTCCGAAGCTCACCCTTCCGCTGGCTCCCGAGCCCGCAGATTTGAAGCCATTTTAAGGCGAAACCACTTGGCCACGCCCCCTCTATCTCCCGAGAAGCCAATCCACGCGCAGCCACGCCCCCCTCGCCCCGCGCGGCGCCACCGCCAACTGTCGCGCGAGTGACGGTTGGGGAAGGCTGTGGTTCTGGGGAAGGCTGTGGTTCTGAGGCTCGGCGGGGAAACCTTAGCCGACTGCTCCACCCACGGTGCTCGACGCCCAAAGCCTGGGATTAAGAGTCTGGAGTTGGCGCCGCACCCGGCCAGGTGTGCAGGGCTAGCCAGGTGCGCAGCCCCGCCCCGGTTCCCGGAGCCTGTCCTGGCCGAGAGCCCCGGCGAGGTCGCGGCTGTGGCGCAGGCAGTGCCAGAGGGCAGCTCACCTGCCAGGTGTCCCTACTCCCTCGGGACAGGGGCGGGGCGGGCGGCAGGTGCTGACACCAGAGCCGCTCCAGGGGAGCGCTCTGCTGAAACCCTGGCTTCCCGGCTTACGCGATTAATGACAAGGTCTTCCTTCGTATTCAACAGCGTGGTAGACGCCCATCAATAACCCCGCGTGATGTCCTCCTGGACGCTGGGGGCGCTGTGGCCCGCTTGGCCCGACACCCTGACGTCCTTCCAGGCCGGCGGCCGTCTCGCCGTGCTCCGGCAGCCATGGCCGTCGCCTTCGCCTTTCGCAGTCTGTGCCGGGCGCAACTCGCACCGCGCGGCCTGCGCGCCGGGCCGCTCTGGTGAGTTGGGTCCGCAATCTCCACCCACCCCGTCGTGCCCCGGCACCCCGCTCCCTGACCCTGCTCTTCGCCCCGCAGGACCCCACGGCGCTGGCACCGGCTCTCCCCCGCAGACGACGAGCTGTACCAGCGGACGCACATCTCTCTGCTGCAGCGCGAGCTCCCGCACGCCATGTATATAGAAAGCTACAGCATCCGCGGCTTCACGGTCAGTGGAAGCCGAGTTCTGGGGCCGTGCGCCCTGCTCCCGAACTCCGTGCTGCAGTGGAACGTGAGTCTGCCCTGCTCGTGCCCCTTAAACCTGGATTTTCCAGTGGCTTCAAGGTGGACCTGGGGAGAAAAGTCTCCTGTACTTGTATTGAATCGACCCCTCCCCATTCAGGTAGGATCCCACTGGGACATCACCGAAGAGAGCTTCTCCCTCTTCTGGATGCTGGAGCCCAGGATAGGTAGGCTGAAGGCAGGGTTGAGGCCTGAAGATCCGAGTCTTTACGCCCTTGCTGTAGATGACCCACCCTTCCCTTCCTCAGAGATCGTTGTCGTGGGCACTGGAAACAGGACCGAGAGGCTGCATTCCCCGGTGCTGCAGGCCATGAGGCAGCGGGGCATTGCCGTGGAAGTGCAGGATACGGTTAGTCTTAGAACTTGGAAACGCATCAGGGAGTTCTGGCGTACCCTTGGGCAGGCTAATGCTGGCCTTTTCTTTGCAGCCCAATGCCTGTGCTACCTTCAATTTCCTGTGTCATGAAGGCCGAGTGGTGGGAGCTGCTCTCATCCCCCCACCTGGAGAGAGTTCACTGACTCCAGAATGAACTCCCAGGAACCTATCCGTTGTCCATGACGGCACTGGCACTGGCGGAGCCTACACTGACCTCTCCCCCTTTGGCACTCTGTAACATTGTTATGCTTGCCAGGATAACTTATACATCTTATTTTGTATCCGGTGTGTTGTTGGCCATGGGCTGTTGAGTTAGTGGGCTTTGGGGGGGGTGATTAAGAAGAAATCAAATCACAGTTCCACATCAGCTTGCTCACATGCAGATTTGAGAGGACTCCAGTGGCTTTCCTCAGAGCCTTTAGTTAAGAGTATGTATTCATGAGGTGGGGAATTAGCTTAGCAGTTTCACCGCCTGTGCACGCAAGGACCCGAGTTCAATCCCCAGTACCAAAAAAAAGAAAGTATATATTCCTGTTTTGGGGTTAGCAGGGGGCCCAGCAGATCCCAGTCCCATTGACTGTCCACCCTACCCCCCCGCTCCCTCCCAGCCAGGGAAGAACTTTGAACCAGAACTACCTCCTTCCAGGTTCATGGGGTACCCCTTGGGAACCAGGGTGCTGTATGTCTGTGGTGCTGGCATCTACAGACCCCACGTCTGTTGGCTTCAAAGATCAGGCATCCCTTTTATTTTCAAACTTTTATTGAAAAACCAAGGAGATATGATGGGTTCCTTTTCAGAAAAGTCGCTTCTCATACCTGTAGGCAGAGACCATCTAATGAGTTCAAGGCAGGAGGAAAGTGGGACAAAGCATGGCAGGAGTTAGGACGAGGTCACTTACGAGTGAAGGCTGTGGACACCACCTTCCACCTGGGCTGAGGACGTTCTCTTCTCAAACTTAAGCTCCCCAGAGTACATCATGGCTCTGAAGAGGGGCAGATGTCAGTCACAGACAGTAAGTAGCTGACCCTAGAAAGGCTAGCCTGTACCCATGTCCCAGCCACCCCAGCTCACCGGACTTGTGTCAAGCTTTTGGCACCAATGTCCTGGCAGGAGTGCTGGATGCCAGCAATCAAGTAAGGAACAAACTTGTGAATGGATCCTTTGTCTTGCACAGCTCCCGACACCCCTTGGGCCACTTTGATTTTGTCAGCTTCACTATGGGAAGATGCAAACAGTAGGCAAGGTCATAGCAACGATGAGCCCTAGTAGTGCAGGGTGAAGGTGGGGCGAGTGGTCTGATTGTCCCACCTGAAATAGCGGTTCTGGCTGCTGAGATGCTTGTCCATGGCATCAAGAGAACCCATGCCACGATATTTCTTTAGCCGGATCCCATCAGAGAAGAAGTACTCACCAGGGGCTTCAGTGGTGGCAGCCAGGAGGGAGCCCATCATGACTGTGGACAGAAAAGTGCTTAGGGCAGTCTGAACAGCATGAGGAAGGAGTCACACCAGGCTCCAGGGTACTGGACCTCACCTGTGGATGCCCCCAGGGCCAAAGCTTTGGCAATATGGCCCACATTCTGGATTCCTCCATCAGCGATGACAGGAACACCAAATCGCCGTGCATATTCTGATACTTTGTACACTGCTGTTGCTTGGGGCCTTCCACAGGCCAACACTGTTGATAGACAACAGAAGCATGGGGTTAGTGGGGACAGGTAACAAACCAGCCTCAGTACCCAAGAGCTCTTGGCTACATCTGCGCCAGGATGACAGCCTGACTGATGAAGGTGTCTGGATGGCTGCTGCCCCATCTAGTGTAAACTGTACAAACAGGTGTGCTGGCCTCACCCCTGCATATGCACATGCATGTGTCCAGGGCCCAGGGCAGCCTCAGGCACATGCAGTCCCAGCTGGTAGCAAGATGGGACAGGAGTCTCTGTGCAGTTAGTACCTAGAGGCACCAAGTCAGGCCCAACCCTTCTCCCCTGCACAGTGGGCAGCTCAGGCAAGATCAGGGCGATGGTAATGTGGAAGGGAGAGCAGGCTCCAGAGTAGGTCCTCGTGCCATGCCTATCTTATAAGATGTGGTAAAGCCTGGGTCCTGCTCTGAGCAACCCAGGAAGAGGGAGCTGTGATCCCAAGAAGCCCCAAACCATGGTCTGTACATGTTTGCCCTGCCCACCCATCAGCACCACAAACCCTGAGAGCTACAGCTATAGTCAACCAAGCAGCCGGGCAGTGGGCAGCTGGGCCGGGCCAGACTTACTATAGCAGCCCGTGACAGTAGAAGGGCATTTGGGGCTGTGGGACTTTATGTCTGGAGGGATCTTGGGAGCCACTAAATAAAACAAACAGACCAGAGTTTAGAGAGGGCGCAGAGCAGGAGCAAGAAGGCCAGGCTAGGTGGGGAAGTAGCAGGTGAGGGATGACAAGAACTCATCTTGCTTCCAGCCATATCACCCATCCAAGAGGCTGTCTGGCCCCAAAGTTGCCCATCTTGGAAAACTCAATGTAGTTCCCATAAGAGTGCTTGGCCCCAAGGCACATGGGACCTGAAGCCAGTCTCTAGGCTCTGCTGGTACATATTCTCACCTTCCTGGGTGATGCAGATGGAGCCGCTTCCCATGCCCACCCGTAGGGCATCTACACCTGCATCAATGAGGTTCTTGGCCTGAGCTGCGGTGACCACTACAGTGAAGGAAGAGAGAAAGACATGTTAGGGTCCAGGTGGGACCCCAGCTCCTCCCATCCTGAACCACAAGCACCAGTGTCTCACTTACCATTGCCTCCAATGACTTGGAGATTGGGGTATTTTTCTTTGATGTACTTGATCATATTGATCTGGAAGATGGAGTTGCCCTGGGAAGAGTCCTGACAGAAAGGAAGTCCCAATCAGACTGTGATATAGCAACTGCCCCTACTGTCCCACCGTGTTTATGCAGTAGCTCACCAAAACCACTACATCCACACCAGACTGAGCTAACAAGTCCAGCCTATACTTGTCATCTTCATGAGTGCCAATGGCTGCCCCACACAGCAGCTGCTTCTTGGCATCTTTGGAGGCCAGTGGGTAATCCCTGTTCTTCTTCAGGTCGGTCCGGGCAATGATGGCCACCAGCTCATCATCTTCATTTACAATGGGTAATTTTCCTAAAGCCGAGTCAGACACGAATCAGGACCATGAGCGTTAGTTCTAGGCTCCTTCCCACCTCTAGGACTCACCCTTCTTGCTGCGCTGCAAAATTTCATTTGCTTCCTTTAATGTGATGCCTGCAGGGGCTACTACCAAGTCTTCCCTCTTTGTCATGATCTGAGGAGGGAAGTCATGAGGGAGGACCAGTCAGAAATCAAACCTCTCCATAGATCCTACCGTAACTCAGAGGGAGGCTCCAGGACCACCAAGTTCATCTATTTGAATCCAGATCACACCTGCTCTACAGACCTCAACATTTCCAAGTATAGCAGCCTCTTATGCTATAGTGGACCACACATGAGCAATGAAAACACCAGTAGAGCAGGGCTGATGGCATGTGGGCACTGCCCCTACCTTGGTAGTAGCAAAGAACAAAACAAGAATACTAGCAAGCCCCTCCAAGGGGAAGAGAGGGCACAAACCCCATAAAGCCATGAGAAATATGGCTGGACATTCATTTTTTCCTGGATAGAAGAGGTCCTCAAAGATGTCAGATGGACAAAAGAAGCCACCTTTTTTTCATCTGGGGCTGCTAGAGCTTAGCTCTGCTCTGCCAGTGCTACCCACCTCTTCCAGAAACCGGTCATGCTCCTCTTCCTTGAGAAAATCAATATCCCTCGAGGAGATGATGCCCACTAAGCGGCTCCCCATGCGGCCTGTATCTGTGATGGGGATGCCACAAAAGCCATGCCGAGCCTTAGCTTCAAAAACATCCCGCACTCGATCCTTGGGGCTGAGAACCACAGGGTCTGTGATGAATCCCTGCTCATATTTCTGGAAGGGATAGTGAGAAAGTGCATTGTACCTCTGAAGCACTTTCAGGCTCTTGGTCGAAAGCACAGGGTCTGTGCCTAAAATCCTCCTCTGGCAGAACCACAGAATCAACCCTTCTGAGACATGGGTGGGCTGGAGGCACTGTGCAGGTCGTGTTCTTCTGCTAGCTTAAGAAACAGGATCTCGGGCCCTTCTCAGTAACTGAACCCACAGCAGGGAGAAAGGACCCTAAACTAACAGAACAACTCCCCCATTCCCACCCCACTCCACCTCAGCACAATTCCCAGGAGCTTCTGGCCATGATCCTTGCCCTTCTGACCTTCACTTTTCGAACTTCATTGGCCTGGAATTCAGGTGTACAGTTGTGGTGGATGAAACCAATACCTCCTGTGAGCTACAGGATAAACAAAAGATAGGGAATAGATGACTAAAGATAAGAGAGGCAGGCTTGCATATCTTTAAGACAGACATTGTCCCAGTTTTCTCCCAAACCCCAGGGGGCTCACCGCCATTGCAATGGCCATCCCAGCCTCTGTGACTGTATCCATGGGGGAGGAAACCAGTGGGGTCTTGAGTGTGATCTTCTTGGTCAGAGCAGAAGTAAGGTCCTAAAGAGACAAAGGACTACTAGGGTGGGAAAGTGCCTCATACTCCTCAGGGTGGTACCAAGCCCCCCAAAATGGGTACTATATGATTTGCATGCCAACCAAAAAGACCATTCCATAGAATCCACCCCAAGTCCAATCTGGAGAGGAAGCCCAAAGACCAGGCAACTGCAGCACCTTAGCCCACTTTGACGTTCAGAATCCAGTTTTTTATCATACTCACCACCTGGTCTGCAGTGAAGTCGATGTATCCAGGGAGAATGAGAAAATCGCTGCAGCAGAGAAGAATAAATTGGGAGTAGGACTCTCAGGTTTCTGGCACCCTGAGACTCCAACTCCATGCCTTAAAGCCTCTGAGCAGGGAATGACACTAACTGAGACCATGTGTCACAGGCAAGACAGCAGGTGCAGATAGGCGACGGGGCCTTTTCTTCCACTGAACTGTCATCAGTGTTCCTCCCGGCCCGACAATTCCATGTATCTAAAGAACGGAGTCTCAAGCCAGAAATCCCTACTAATCCCGAAATGGCTCCCCCAACCCCCATGCCAGATCTGTCAAAATGAGTCCAGGAAAGATGAGGAATTCCCGGATCCTGCTCCCGTGTTTGCGCCCAAGGGGGCCCCACTGAAGCTCCCATCTGCCCTGTTATCCTGGGGTACCGCCCCACTCCTCGCCCAAGTGACCCCCTAAGCCCGCACTTGTAGGTGAGGCCGTCCCCGCAGTTGAAGAGCTGCTGTGCCGTGAGTCCGTCGTCCGGCACATAGGATGTGCCCCCACTAATCAGGTAGTCAGCCATGGCCAACACAGACCACCTCCGTGTGTTTCCGAGGACCACGCCGCAGAGGCCTCTGCCGTCTGGATCGCGCCAATATAATTCCGTCACTCCACCGCGCGCCCCGTGACGTCAAGGCGCAGGGCGCGCAGGGCGCGCGGGCGGAGCCAGAAATGTAACTACAGCAGAGGTGGGGCTAGAGGGGAAGAAGCGCATGCGCATAGAGTTCAGCAGCTCTCTTGGGTACCTGGGGCCATTTCCTGTCCCACCCCTAGACTCCCCTTCGGCCTATTCCATTAACAGGCTTAGCTTTGCTTCCGCTGTCACGCCAGACTCCTCCCCAAATAAAGACGCGATGTTCACTAGCATGTTGAAAAGACGTGCTTGTCATTCTTAATAAACAACTAGAGTAAGAATACATAAGAGAAACAGAGTGGTATCTTTATATGATACACAAGTGTATGTTACAAGAATTCCATCAGGCACAGGAGCCTCAGGTTTAAGGCCTCAATGTTAGGCCAAAAAAAAAAAAAAAAAAGGCATGGTAAAGTTTTTAACATCTAAAATGTCACTTGTCATAAAGGAGGGTGTGATAGAAATTGTCTTTAATAAATCATTGAATTTCCCCTCACTTTTCTCCATTAGACGCTAGGTTTATGTCTGAACAAGAAGAAAACATGGTTCCTCTGTGGTCAGTGATGTGAACCAGTCCAGAGTGGAAGCCAGCTGGGGAGACTCCCTGGAGGTTGGTCCATCATTAGTTCCATCGTGAGGAAGGCAAGGGGCCACATTTCTATCAGTCCAAGCCCTTTCCTCGGGCCCAGATAAAAGTCAGCCAGCAACTTTCTAGGACATCTGGCTCTCAGGAAACCTCAAGCCCCCCCACAGGCCAAGGAGTCTGCTGCAAGTCTATGAAGATGCAAAGGGGGCAAAGTTTTACATTTTAAACAGAAGTAGCCTGAAAGGCTCCATAACTACACCAATAAAAAAAGAAAAAAAATGGAGGCCTCTTCTTTAGTGTGAAAGTCTGTCTGGTTTTTCCTGGTTGGTTTCTCTTGTACCATGGCTGAGGCATCTCAGTGCATGGTGCTCGCATTGGCCACTGCAATGGCCTCCTGAATTTCTCGTATCACCAGGATCCGGGTCAGCATTTGTCCCATCTGCTCTCTGCTGATAGGCTGGACTGAGTACCAGATTGGGCTGTTGGGGGCCACTACTGGCTCAGGTGTCAGGTAAAAGGTGTCATTCCGGCCTTTCACACTCTGGGGACTGAAGAATATGTCAGTAAAATCTTGGGTAACACCATTATAACTTCAACCCACCCAGTACAGCTACTCAAATCCATGCAGATACCACACACCACCCTCCAGGACCTCCAATGGTGCTACTGTCAAACCAGTGAGTTTGCCTCCTCCTGCCGTGCTTTCACACAAGTCAGATGTGATCAATCACTAACTGCACTTGCCTTGGGCACCTCTGGGCTTAACTATTGGAGGCCATCTACATTCCATTTATCACCACTCCTGTCTTCATGTGATTTGTTCACACTGTTTGCTCTACCCAGTAATATGATCATAATGTAGGGTCCTTGCCTGGGCTCACTCCTTCACCCACGGTGCTCTAACTCTGTCGAGTACTTAGCACACTCCATCCTCTAACAGTTACTCATTCATCCATTCGAGATTTATTGAAAGGCTACTACTGTCTGCCAGATCTGCACTAGGTGTGGATGGTAAATAACAGTAAGTAGTTCCTACCTCATGAACCATACAGATTAAGAGGGAAGACAGAAATTAAAGTTACACAAATACACACAAAATAAAACAGCAGTTAAGCCAGAGGGAACAGGCAGTGAATCTAGAGATGTTTCCCTGGAAAACTAGTGTTTATAGAGAGGAGCTAGCATGATGCCCTTCAGTGCGAAGAACCTAGCAGGGCTAGAGGGCTCAGACCCAGACCACGACAGAAATGGGGGGGGGGGGGCACCACAGACACATGGATGGACACCAGCAGCTGCCATGTAAGAGTTCATGTAAAAGTTGTTTCTGTGGAGTAATGAGAAACCACTGAATGTTTTAATCTAAGTGACATACTAAGACCTGCAACCAATAAAGATCCTTCTGATATTGTTGTGAAGGTCACATACCAAACTTCAGGGATAAGAGGAAGCCAAAGCCAAGGGAAGAAGTTCCTTGAACAGGTGAAAGAAGGCAGTAACGAATGGTCAGGACCAGAATGATGTAGGGCAATGTTCAGTACGTGATGAAGGTGACATCTATGTGCCTCCCTACCTTCTTCAGCAAAGGTGACTGTCAGGAACCACTTTTATGTACAGTGATTAAGCATGCTTTTACAGTTCCCTTTTTGGAGTAATTTTACTCAGTCTGGGACTAGAGAATGCTTCTCTCCTAAGATCTTTAAGTAAGTATGCATGCACATGAACATACACACACACAGCATTAGCCAGTGGATAAAGCCTCCTCACCATTTGAAGAGGTAGAAATCGTAGAGCTTGATGGGACACCGCAGTGGATTCTCTGGATTTTCTGTCTGTTCTGCATACATGTCATCTGTAACTATAGAATGCCCCACCACCATCACAGACCTGGCACAAGGTTGTCTTAGCTCAGGCCCAGCTCAGGAACCTCAAGCATTCAGCCTCCCCCTCTAGGAAATACTGGGTGAGAGGATGGAAGGGATGAGGGATGGGCAGTGACTAGGGAAAAAAGCAGCTACCTTCCCCAGGGTTTCTCTGCTTCCAGGAGAAATCTTTGAACTTTTTGGCCAGACAAAGGGAGTAGAGAATTCCTATCCAGAAAAGCCCAACCTTCATAATCATTACTACCCTAATAAGGACCAGGGCATGGCAGGAAAAGTAGTTATCTATTTCTGCCATACCTGCCTCCTTCCCCTACCTTTCTGGCCAGTCTGGTGTATTCCAAGGGCCTTCAGGTACCGGATACTTGTGCTTTTATCCTTTGGATTAGAGGGGTTCTTCTTTGTCTGTCGCAAGACCTTGGAGAAGGCCAGTTTCACGTGCTGGTCCACTGTCTTCAACAGGAAGTACCTGTACCACAAGTGAAAGCAAGGCAGAAAGAGGGGTGCCAGGAGGATACCATAGCTTACCCATCACATCACCCATCAATGCTTCAGAGGAGCCAATGCCCACATTCCCAGGATCTGGACAGGCCTGTACCAAAGCCACACTAAGATGGACAGTAGGGGTTTGGGGCGAGGCTGTTTGCCTCACCAGTCACACACATAATGCAGCCATGTGAGGCTGGGCTTTCAAGAGCTCAAAGGTTCTCAAATGTGTATCGGAGGAATTGAGAAGTCCTACAGAAGTTTCCACTCTTTTTAGTGGTGAGCTTCTAGAACACTTACTTGGTATTAAAGAACATGAGGGTGGTCAGCAGGGTAGAGGGGGAGTGCGCCCCAAGCTGTTTGCACTCCCACAGCATCTCCTCAGTCACGTGGCTGGGCAGAACGTAGCCTAGGAGGAACACAGGACTGCTACACCAAGTGGATGGGACAAGGTCCCCCAAAGGCACATAGTGGAGGCACAAAGACCATACAGGAACATAAGTCTTATCAAGGGAAGCCTCCTTAGGGTATGCCAAAATAATCTGGGAAGCATTAAAACACAGATGCCTGGGTCTCAATCCAAGTTTCTAAGATGCAACCTGATAAGCTGTATGTATTTCTAACATGGTCATACAGCTAGTGCTGCCTAACATGACTACTATTCTCTCTCTCTTTTTTTTTTTTTTCCTGGTACCACGAATCGTACTCAGTGCCTTGCTTACCAGGCAGGCCCTGAACCGCTGAGCTACATCCCCAGCCCTAACATGATTACTGTTACCTGGCAAATTCTTCTCTCAAATCAAAGGCTAATATGGGGCAAAACGAAAGTTCTCAGAGAGAATGAAATATATAAAACTAAAACACAAAAATCCATGTATATGCATACTTTTCTTTGAGAGCTTTCAAGGTGTCCATGGCCCAAAGATCTGGTATCCATACCCCTCTGGCCCTTACCAAACCTCTACCATCTCTAGAAAGTAAGCCCACTTTCAACCCTTCTCCAGACCAAGACAAGATTGATATTTGAACTATTATAAGATGCTTGCAACAATGCAGCTGTTACTGTGTAAAACCCTGGCCAGGGGGCAGGAGTGGGGTTGGGAAGCTAGGATTGCACCAAAGGAAAATGACACTTGGTATGACCACCAAAGACCCTTTGTGTATTCAAATCACTAACGTCCAAGTGATCGTGCGCGCTGGCAGCATTTTCCTACAGGATTTCAGGAATCTCGAAGCAGACAGCAAAGGTTAAATTTGGTGCAGTAGAAAAAGGAATATTCTGGCCAATACAGTTCTTTTTCTGGTCTTGCGAAAGCTACATCTTTAAACTGAGTTAACGATGATTCTTTTTTTTTTTTTTTCGTTCTGGAGATCGAACTCGGGACCTTGCACTTGTGAGGCAGGCACTGGAACCAGAGCTAAATCCCTGGCCTAACAATGATTCTTAAGAAAACAACCTTTAATTGTTCATCACTGGGGAAACTGGTAAACCAACTCATTATTGTGAAAACTGATAAAGAAAAAGAAACAAGCCCTTATTCTGCCTTGTCTATACAATCAGGACTGCCTGGAATCCCGAGTTGAGGAGGGAGAGGTGAATGAATATTTCTTCCAATATTCCAATATTCATGGAATATTTCCTCCATGAATAATGAAGAAATAGCAACATGAGAAGACTGTTTTGCAGCCCACAATTTAATGGATCCAGACAGTATGGGCATTGTGATGGAGGAAAAGCCGCCTATGTGAAGGAAGAATGACAAAAACGAACAAAGCTGGAATAAATTTTTTTTTTTTGGTACCAGGGATCGAACTCGGGACCTTGCGCTTGAGAGGCAGGTGCCGGAACCACTGAGCTAAATCCCCAGCTGGAATAAACTGTTTAATCTATTTAGCAACAAACTATAAAAACTAAGAAAAAATATATTAAACTAAACCAAAGCAAACAAGTCAACAAAAACTAGATGAGTCTTTTTTTTTTGGTACCTGGGATCGAACTCAGGTCCTCGCGCTTGCGCAGCAAGCAACGAAGCCACTGAGCTAAATCCCTGGCCCCATAGATGAGTCAAAGGGCTAGTTTAACGAAGATAGACCTTTTACAAATTGGAAGATCTACAGAAGGAGAGGGAAAGTAAAGTAAAAAAAAGATGTACAGCCAGGCTTGGTGGCTCATGCCTGTAATCCCAGCACTCCGGAGGCTGAGGCAGGAGCACTGCTGCCAGTTCAAGGCCAGCCTAGACTACATAGTGAGACCCTGTCTCAAAATAAAAACAAAAACGAGGCCCGGGGATTTAGCTCAGTGGTTCCGTTGCTTGCCTTGAAAGCACAAGGACCCAAGTTCGATCCCCAGTACCAAAAAAACACCACAAAACAAAAAGTACACGGTCCAACTTCCCATGACAAATGTAATCATTACATATGGCAAACATGCACAAAAAAAAAAAAGTCAGGCACACAACTATAATCCCAGTACTTGGGAGTTTTTGAGGCTACCAGTGCTAGCTAGCTAGTGAGTTTAAGACCAGCCTGAACTGCACAGCCAGACTGTGTCAAAAATTTACATTAAGAGGACAGGGATTTAGCTCAGTGGTTCCACCACCTGTCTCACAAGTGCAATGTCCCGAGTTTGATCCCCAGTACCAAAGAAAAGAGAAAGAATACAGTTAAGAAGAAAAAGGGCTAGTTTATCCCATGAAAAAATTATCTTTTTTGTTTTTTGGTACCGGAGATCAAACTCGGGTCCTTGCACTTGCACAGCAGGCGGTGAAACCACTGAGCTAAATCCCTGGGCCCATGAAAAAATTATAAAGAAAAAATCATAGAGGAGAAAATTTAAATATGTTAAAAGTCACAACCAATTTAGATACATGGACTTACTACTGCCCTGATTCAGATAAACTGAAATAATGAAATACGTGAGACAATCAGAAATTTGAACATGGGTGGATTCTGGTAAAATGGGATTATTTTGAGGGGTCACCCCCGACACCCCGTACTGGGGATCTAACTCAGGACCTTGCCCTCGTGAGGCAGGCGGAGCACCACTGAGCTAAATCCTTGGCCCATACAGCTATGTGTTTTGTAAACATTTTTTTCCCCAGTACACAGCTTGCCTTTTCATTCTATTAAGCATATTTTTCGCAAGACATAAGTTAAAAAATTTTCTAGTTTTTAATGAAGAGGACATTCTCGAAAGTTTTGACCAGTGAGAGGAACTGATATGAGATGGATTATTTTGAGCGTCACTGAATTTCTGCCAGCTGCAAATTCACTTTGCATTCTAGATTATCTGTCCAAGGTATATGTACACATATGTCTAGTGGGAGCTTATCTTCTTAGTTTCCAAAATTTTCTCCAGACTTTGTCTTGTTTTGGATCTCTATCTCTAGGCCCAAGTTTCCCACCCTGTCATCCGTGATTCTCCAGCCCACCCTGCTGTCAGCTCAAATCCATCTGCTCAGACATGTTGAACTTTACGAATATTACATAGACCTGTTTCAGCAGCTTGGGTTTTTACTAGGATTATGTTGGGTCAATAGGTAAGGTGAAGGGACCAGGAAGGAGAGGCTGATTTTCCAATGTAAAAGAAAGTGTTTTTTAAACTAAAAAAAAAAAAATTTTTTTTCTAGTTTTGTTGTTTTTTCCTTGAGATGAGGGTCTTGCTATGTTCCCCAGGCTGGTTTTGAACTCCTACGTTCAAGTGATCCCTTTGCCTCAGCCTCACAGGTGCCGGGACTACAGATGGATTGCCACCACTATAGCATCTTTAGTCACAACTGCCAAAACTTGAAAGCAAAGATAAAATGTCTTTCAACAAAATGAATAAACAAACTGGTATATCCATACAATGGAATATTATTCAGTGATAAAAAGAAATGACCTATTAAGCCATGAAAAAAAAATATAGGAGCACTGAATGGCCTCGAACTTGTGGGAATCCACTGGCTTCAGCCTCCCAAGTGCTGAGATTACAGGTGTGTACCACCATGCCCAGCAAATCAAAGTAACGTGCTAATTAATGACAGAAGAAACTATGTGAGGATGCTTATGCAAGAGAACAAAGAGAATTATCTGTACTTTCTCTTTAATTTTTCTGGACACCTAAAGTTGCACACACACACACAAAAAATTAACACTCAGGCTAAGGAGGGAATTCAACAGTAAAGTACCTGCTAACATACAGAAGGCCCTGGTATTAATCCTCAGCATCTCAAGGGGGAAAAAAGTCTATTACAAACAAAAATTAATCCCAACTCAGATATTTTACTGAAAACCTCATGTTCCAACAAAAAAGGAAACTGCTTGTAACTGAAGAAAAATTATGTTGCTATGCAAATGAAATTTTTTTTTTTTTGGCACCAGGGATCAAACTCAGGACCTTGTGCTTGCAAGGCAGGCACAGTGTCACTGAGATAAATCTCTGGACCTTTGTTTTGTTTTTTGTGGGATACTTTTTAAAATAGGATCTCACTATGTAGTTCAGTCTGAGCTTGAACTCACTTAGCTCAGGCTGACCTTGAATGACTCTTGAATGCTGGGATTAAAGGAATGAGGCACTTAACCCTGTCCTGCCTCTTAATTCTCTTTTTTTTGAGACAGTCTTGCTATGTAGTTCAGGCTGGCCTTGAACTCACTATGTAGTCCAGGCTGGCCTCAACTTGTGGCAATCCTCTGGCTTCAGACTCCCAAGTGCTGGGATTATAAGCGTGTGTCACCATGCCCAGCCTATCTTTCTCTTTTTTTTTTTGGTACTGGATCAAACTCAGGACCTTGAGCTTTCGAGGCAGGCAGCGGAACCACTGAGCTAAATCCCTGGCCCATACCTTGTAATTCTCAGCAACTGTAATCATTTGTTTCTTTGTTTTGCAATAGGGTCTCATATGTATTTCAGGCTGGCCTTGAACTCACTATGTAGCCCAGGCTGGCCTCAAATTCATGGCAATCTCAGCACATTGTTTTTGGCTTTGGTTTTTTTTGGTACTGGGGATCGAACTTGGGTCTTTGTGCTTTCGAGGCAAGCAACGGAACCACTAAGCTAAATCCCCGGCCCTCAAACTCACGGTAATCCTCCTGCCTGAGCATCCCAAGTGCTGGGATTACAGAAAGGTACCACCACACCTAATTCAGTAAGTAATGATTCTTATTTTTTTCCCTTTTGCAATAGGGTATCACTCTGATGTCCAGGCTAGCTTTCAATTCCAGAACTCAAGTAATTATCCTGTCTCAGTCTTCCCAGTAGATGAGACTATAGATATAAGCACTTGTGCCTGTCTGTGATTCTGATTTTAATTAATAACAGATTTTAATAGGAAAAAAAAAACCCACATTAATAACTGCCCTACTAGTTCTGCAAACTCCAGTGTCCTTGCCATGCCATGCCAGGACCAACAGGAATCTCTGGTGAGGAAAGCAGCACAGAGGACAAAACTGTTGTCTGGGATTTATAAGTCCATTGATCGCACACTACAAACACAGCCAGCCACAGAAGCTGCTCATCTTTTGAAAACCTAAATGAGAAAGAAAACCAAAGATGAGCCGGGAATGTAGCTCAGTGGCACTGCACCTGCCTCACAATTGCATGGTCCTGAGTTCAATCCCCAGTACCAAAAAAAAAAAAAAAAGAAAGAAAAGAGAAGAGAAGAGAGAATCGAGAAGCAAGAAGCGAGAAAAGAAAAGAGACAACCAGAGACAAGGGGAACTTACCAAGTGGAGTGACCCGGGGCTGAACATCCTTCAAAACTTCATGAAGCCACTCCGTGAATCGAACATAGTAAAGATCAGAGAAAATGTCATCTACCCTTCCATTTTCAAAAAGATACTACAAGAAAAACAATCAACAAAGATAATTAGTGCTTTCTTAAGTAAGGGTTTCAGGCCAAATATACTTTTCCACAAGCACAAGCACCTCTCCCTACCAATTATCCCCTCAACAAAGGAACAAAGGATGCCACCAACCTAAAACTGTCTATCTAGCCTATGACACTTTCATAGTGTCCTTCATAGCATGTGAACTGATCCCCTAACATTCTTTTTTTTTTTTTTGAGACAGGGTCTCACTGTGTAATCCAGACTGGCCACGAACTCTCAATGATCCTCCTGCCTCAGCCTCCCGAGTTCTGGGATTACAGGCATGTGCCATCATGCTAACATTCTTGACAGTTGGGTCAGCAAGACAGGTTTGTTTTTTTTTCCCCCCTAGTACTTGAGATTGAAGCCAGGAAATGCTGAGCTACATTCCCACCCCTTTTTCTTTCATATTCATTCATTTGTTCATTATTCTTTTGATACAGGGCCTCAATACATTCTCCAGGCCAATCTTTTAACTCCCTATTCTCCTGCCTCACCCTCCCAAGTGGTGAGATTACAGACATACACCCAGTTTACCTATTTATTTTTCTGGTACTGGGGATTGAGCACAGGGCCTTTGTACTGAACTATATCCCCAGTCTCTTAAATTTTTTTTAAAACAAGGTCTCTCTAAATTGCTAAGTTACTCAGGTTGGGCCTGAATTTGCAACTGTCCTGTCTGCCTCCCAGAGTGCTGGGATTAGAGCCTATGCCACCATTTCCCAGCTATTAATTTTATTTGTTTTTTTATTTGTGCTGCTGAGGATCAAACTCAGGGCCTGGGACATTCTAAGCAAACAGTGAGCCATGTCCCCAGCTTGTTGTTTTGCTTTGTTTTGTTTTTTGAGACAGGCTCTCATTATTTAGTCCAGGCTGGTCTCTAATTCGAAATCCTACATCAGTCTGTGGAGCAGCTGAGATTACAGGTGTGTACTATCATGCCGTGCTCGATTTTTTTTTTTCCCAACACCAAGGATTGAACCCAGAACCTTTGCACTGAGCTAAATCATCAGCCCTTTCTGGAGACAGGGCCTCACTAAGTTGCTGAGGCTGGGCTTGAAAGTGCAATCCTCCTGCCTCAGCCTTTCCAAGTGCTGGAGTTACTGGTGCACACCACCTTGCCTGTTTCTGGGTGGATTTTTTAAATAAAAATTTATTTTTGCAGAACTGGAAATTAAACCCAGGCAAGTAATGCTAAGCAAATACCACTGCACTACATCCCCATAATATTTTTAGTGAATGTATTTCACTCAAGCAAGGCACTGTCTTACGGCAGCAAAAAATGATGAGCAGGCTTAAGGGCCAGTCTCTAAGGTATTGTGTAAATTAACAACATATGGATGTCTTCTAACTTCTGGGGTTTGGTTTCCTTGTCAATAAATAGAGATGATTCTGTCTTCTAGAAATGGGGAGAGACTGGATCCTGACAGAGCATGTGAAGTCATTCACATGTGCCTGGGTAAGGACCAGAAAGAAAAAGGAACAAACTAGGAGGCAGAATTTTCTCAGACCAGGCAAAAGTCCCAACCAACAAGCCCTCATACTGTGGGGTTCTCTTCAAGGGTCTTCAAATACCAAGAAATCCACCTCTGTTCCTCAAAACTGCTGGTCTACAAGTTTCTCTACTGTGATTCTTACCTTAGAGGTCCTGAAAACCTAAGTATATTTTGGTATTTCACCCTAGCCAGACTTCTTCAAATAACTGTTTTGTGTTAATATAGGGAACAATGAGAAGTAAAGCTGAGTTAGCATCAAACATGTTTTGGGTTTTGTTTTGTTTTCTTTTTTTGAGACAGGGTCTTGCTATGTAGCTCAGGCTGGCCTTGAACTCACTGTATAGTCCAGGTTGGCCTTGAACTCTTGACAATCCTGCCTCAGCTCCCAAGTGCTGGGATTACAGGCATGTGCCACCACACCTGGCCAAACATTTCTGGATAAATCCTCCCCTCCCCCAACATTGGGAATTGAACCCAGGGCCTTCCCACTGAGTTATATCTCCAGTCCTTTATTTCTTTTGAGACAGGGTTTCTCTACGTAGCTCAGGCTGTCCTTCAACTCACTATGTAGCCCAGGCTGGCCTCAAACTTCCAGCCATCCTCCTGCCTCAGCCCCATGAATGTTGCGATTATAGGCATGCGCCACCACACCCAGCCATTTTTATTTTTTGAGATAAGGTCACAATAAATTGGTAAATTGCTCAGGCTGGGGTTGAATTTGCAACCCTCCTATCCCAGCCTACCAGAGTGCTGGGATTACAAGTGGATAAATTGTATTTTTAATGAAAATTCTGTTTACTTGAACAAAAAAAAGTGAATACCTCGTGATTAAAACAAAATACTATTAAGGTAATTATTAAATATTTTAACAGAAGTTTCTCTAAATGCTAGGATAATACTTGCCTATTTTATTTTCTGAAATGAACGTGAAGGTCTCTGCAAGTAAAAACAAAATGTCTATTCTACAACACTTTACATAGCTCAAAGAGAACTTTATTTTCACCACTTATTTGTCATTTAACTAAGCAACACCCAGTGGGAACATAGCTCATACATGTTCCTATGATAATCTGCTTCCTACCTTTTGAATACACAGGAAAATATAGTAGAGCACGTCAGGGTCATAGGGTTCACCTTCTCCATTTCGAGCTTCCCGTGTCATTAGACACAGCCCATAATTCAACTCAGCCACAGCAGAGGAGATGAGATCTTCTTGGAAACGCAGCAGTTGGCGCCCTGTGATACAATTCCCAAAAGTGATTAGGGAACCTGGACACAGTTGTCTCTTTACTGGCTAATATTCCTGAAAGGGGGGCTTAGAGCAGATACAGCCCAGGGTACTGGGAGAAGAATGGTCATTTATCTCTATAATCAGAACTGGCTAAGTCAACTAATCACATATGCTAATTACACCAAGGGTTTACTTTTCATAATCCTTCCCTATCTCACATACAGTATCTCAGAAATTACTATTAGGGCCAAGAAATGAAAGCAGAAAAAAAAAAGAATCCACTTTGTATAATATAAGCAAGTTTATGAGTCTAATGCCAAAGAAGGGCCTTGAGTACACTCACTGGTACCTATTTCCTCCCAGAAGAAGCCATTCTGCCTTCATCTGCTAGCTGAACTATAGAAACACATGTTGACAAAAATGTACACATTCTGCTCATCAGTTCAGGGCCTGGGCTTGCTTGTTGCTGGTCATGATGCACCTTAGCATTTCAGATAGTGCTCTCTAGGTCCTACAGTCAGGGACTACCAGCTTCTTGTCATTCTGTCCACCTTTTACTGATATTGTGGACAGGTTCCATGTCCTACCCGCTCCCAACACTCACTCCCAATGGGGGCCAATCTGTTCTGAGCATCCTTCTCCAGTTCAGCATTCTTAGTCTGGGCCCAGTTTTTCCATACTTCAAGCCCTTCTTCTGGCTTCAAAGAATTTGGAAGCAGAAGTTCTGGGGAAGGCTGTGGCTGTGATTGTGGTTCAACTTCAGCAACTTGGACGGTCTGAGCCTATGAAAGAAAACATTAGAATGAGTCAATACTCTTTGAATTAGGTCCTCTGGTAAAACTCCCAGAAAAAAATTACTTATGGTTCATTAGATTAAAAAAAAAACTCTTTGCTGCTGCCTGCCTCGCAAGCACAAGATCTGGAGTTCGATCCCTGGTACCAAAAAAAAAAATCTCTTCTAGCTGTCCTACTTTGAAGAAGCTCTGGGGTTTTTGAATTCCAAGGACAGTAAAGGTAGCACTACATACTTGAAGAGTGCAGTGTTTCTCATCCTTAGATAGACTCTCTTATTTAAAAGTATCAAACCTGGGGTTGCAATGTCTCACTGGGATATTGTCCAGGTATCAGACTTTTTAAACTTTCCAAGTAAAATGGGAACTCCAATGTCATCATTGGTTCAATCAACTGTTTCTCAAACTTCAATACACAAACCTACTTGAGAATTTTATTAAATGCATATCCTGATTAGAAGGGTTTCAAGGTGGTCAAAAGTTCCTAGATTTAATAACCAAATTCAGTAGTAAAGGAGGATACAAAGTCAACATTCAAAATCATTAGCATTCTGGTACACAAATAACAAACTCACTGAGAGAGAAATTAAGGAAACAACACCTTTCACAATAGCATCAATAAAAATGAAATTAAAACATTAAAAAAAAGAAAAATGAAATACCTAGGAATTAATCTAACGAAGGAAGTAAAATAACTTTACATTGAAAACTACAGAACTCTGAAAAAGGAGACCGAAGAGGGTATCAGAAAATGGAAAGATATCCCTTGTTCTTGGATAGGCAGAACCAATATGGCGAAAATGGCCATACTTCCAAAACTGTTATGCAGATGCAATGCAATCCCAATCAAAATATCAATAGCATACCTCATAAAACTAGAGAAAACAATCCTAAAATTCATATGGAACCAGAAAAGACCTAGAACAGCAAAAACAATTTTGGACAACAAAGGCAAGGCAGGGGCCATCCCTGACTTGAAGTTATACTATAAAGTTATCATGATAAAAACAGCACGGTACTGACCAAAAAACAGACCAGTGGATCAATGGAACAGATTAGAAGATGTAGAAACAGCTCCAACACTCAGCTACTTTTATCTTTGACAATGGGGCCAAACACCTTCATTAGAAGAAAATAGCCTCTTTAATAAATGGCGCTGGAAAAATTGGCTTTCCACATGCCAAAAATTAAAGCTAGACCCATGCCTCTCATCATGCACAAAACTAAAATTGAAATGGATCAAAGATCTAAATATTAAGCCAGGCATGGTGGCTTATGCCTGTAACCCCAGCACTTGGGAGACTGAGACAGGAGGACTGCTATAAGTTTAAGGCCACCCTCGACTACAGAGTAAATTCAAGGCCAACCTGAGCTACACAGGGAGACTGCCTCAACAAAAACAAAACAAAGGACTTAAATATTAAAACAGAAATACTTAATCTGCTAGGAGACAGAATAGGTAGAACTCTTGAAGACAGGTGTAGGCAAAGACTTTAGGAACAAAACCCAGATTGCACAGGAAATATTACAAAAAATCAACAACTGAGATCTCATCATATTATAAAGCTTTTACACAGCAAAAGTAACCACCAACAGATTAAAGAGACAACCCACAGAATGGGAACCAATTTTTACCAGCTATTCCTCAGAAAAAGTACTAATATCTAGGATATATAAAGAAATCAAAACTACCAAAACAACCCACTCCCCAGATTTAAAGACCAATCCAAAAATGGTCATCTGAAATAAACTCACACTTTTCAAATCCAGAAGTACAAACAGCAAGTAAATGTATGAAAAGATGTTCAACATCACTGATCACTTAAGAAATGTAAATTAAAACAACACAGATTCTATCTCCAGAAAGAAAGGCTATCATCAAGAATTTAACCAATTAAAAAAAAATTCAATAACAAATGCTAGCAAGGCTCTGGGGAAAAAGGTACCCTTCTCTACTGTTGGTGGGAGTGTAAATTGGTACACCAGCATGGAGATTCCTCAAAACACTAAAACTAGAGACTCTATTTGACCCAGCTAGTCCCCCTCCAGGTATCTTCCCAAAAGAGTTAAAAGCATCACCGGGGATTAAATTCAGTGGTGCCACACCTGCCTTACAAGTGCAATGTCCTGAGTTGGTTCCACGGTACAAAAAAAAGAAGAGTTAAAAGCATCACACTGTCGGGAGCACTGCGTTGTAGATCACTATGGCCAGGCCTAACTCGCCTCCTCCCCCAGATGAGGCAGGGCCCCACGTGCAACAAGGAACATGACATGCCTTCCTCCCTGTCCATCCACATAAAAGTATCCATCAAAGCATGATGTTCTGCAGACCTTAGCTACTTTCCTGGCTCCAGTTACAGACCAGCCCCATTTACCTCCCTCTATACTTCCCTTATCTCTACCACTATAAATAAATGCACTGCAGTTGCCTGGCAGACCTTCCCATCAGGAGTGAGGCTCCACCTGGCCCCAGCTTTGTTCTTTTATATCTCCTCTTTTTTTTTCTTTTTTGGTACCAGAGATTGAACTCGGGACCTTCCACTTGGGAGGCAGGCTATGGCAAAATCCCCAGCCCCTCTTTTTTCTTAATCCCCTGCCATTCTCACTCTGTGGACCCTTCAACCAGGCAGGCCATGGCTCATACTACAATGATATATGCACATCATGTTTATAGCAGCACAAGACGGCCCAACTGAAGGGAGCCGCGCCAGGTCCCCTCCGTTGCCGTGACCCCAGGGCTCTGCGCTGACCCTGCCCGGGTGCAGGATGCCCAGGCCGCTGCAGGAGGCGAGAAAAAGTCGGGGTTGAAGCCCCGCTGCACCGGGGCCACCTTCCCTGAAGGGTTACTATAATGAAAGACAAAGATACGAGGAAGAGTAAAGGGGTTGCATTTATATTATTTTTGGATAAAGACTGCACAAAACTGCACCAGAGCCATAAACAACAAACAGCTGTTTGGTAGAGTGATAAAGGCAAGCATTGCTATGGACAATGGGAGAGCAGCTGAATTCATCCGAAGACCAAAGTACTTTGATAAATCAAAGTGCTATGAATGTGGGGAAGTGGACACTTAGTTATGCCTGTCCAAAAAACATGCTCGGAGAACATGAGCCTCCAAAGAAGAAGAAAAAGAAAACTGCCGAACCGGAAGAAATTGAAGACGTAGCAGAAAGTGAAGATGAAGGGGAAGACCCCGCTCTCGACAGTCTCAGCCAAGCCATCGCCTCCCAGCAAGCCAAGATTGAAGAACCGAACAAATGGAAACCCAGTGTAGGAGGCCCATCAACATCAAAGGATTCATGGCACCCAAGGATAAAGAAGAGCACATACTTCAGTGATGAGGAAGAATTTAGTGATTAGAGTTGTATAATGTAGATGTCAGGAAAATAAAAAACCATCTGCAGTACAAATTATTTGCCTATAGGAACATTTAATATCAAAATTTTTTTTACCATAAAATAGTTCACAGAAAATAAAAAATAATTTTTAAAAGTTAAAAAAATATATATAGCAACACAATTTGTAATAGCTAAATCTTGGAAACAGCCCATATGTCCATCAATGGATCAACTGGGCAGGGGATTTAGCTCAGTGGTTTCGCCGCCTGCTGCACAAGCCCAAGGACCCGAGTTCAATCCCCGGTACCAAAAAACAAATACCATCAATGGATCAATGGATAAAGAAAACATGAGTTTTCTGTGTTGTTTTTTATTTTGGTGTTTTTGAAACAGGGTCTCACTGTGTAACCCACGCTGGTCTTGAATTCACTATGTACCCTAAGCTGGCCTGGAACTCAGAGATCCTCCTGCCTTATCCTTCCAAGTGTTGGGATTACAAGTGTGTGCCTCTATGCCTGACTGAAAATGTGGCTTTTATATACAATGGAGTACTACTCTGCCATAAAGAAGGATAAATTTGCCAAACGTGATGGTACATGCTTGTAATCCCAGCACTAGGGAGGCTGAGGCAGGAGGATCACTGTGAGCTCAAGGCCAGCCTAGGCCACATAGTGAGTTCAAGGCTAGCCTTGGGTACATGGTGGGACCTTGTATTAAGAAAACAAACAAACAAACAAAAAGATAAATCTGAGACATTAAGTAAATAGATGCACATTGAGAATAGTTTCAAGTGAGATAAACTGGGCACATATTTAAATACTGCATTGTTTCTCTTACGTGAGAAATTGAAAGGGTAAATATAAATAGGGACCAAAAAAGGAATGCAGATATTGGGAAACAGGAAGAAAATGTTCAAATGGAAAGATGAACAAGGAAGGAAGGAGGGGAAAAAAAGGGGGATAGGGATAAAAATAAAAAAGAAAAGAAGGAAAATAATATAAACAAAATTTTATAAATGGAGAGGGGAAGAAGGACTGAAGGGAAGGGAATGGGGAAAAAAAAAGAACTATGATATACTATGTACAGGTACAAATTCCCTATGATGAATGTGATCATTACATATGTCAAAAGTGTACCAATAAAATTAAAATTTTTTTTTTTGGTACCGGGGATTGAACTCAGGTCCTTGCACTTGCAAGGCAGGCGGCAGAACCACTGAGCTAAATCCCTGGCAAAATTAATTTTTTAAAGAAGGGTTTGCAGAGCCGAGAATTTAGCTGAGTCATGCCACTGCCTGCCTCGCAAGTGCAACGTCCTGAGTTCAATCCCCTATACCAAAAAAAACAATTAAAAAAGGGTTTGCAGGTGGTATATTTCTTTTTTTTCTAATGGCAGTAGGTTTTACATTTATTAAAGGTAGGAAAAGAAAAAGGCTCTGCAAAGTGAGTTTGGCCCAAGTAAAAGTCAGAAAAGAAAGTACATTCTACATTTTGAGAGTGGAATACTCTGAGCCCACATCACCGGCCATCGCAGCAGTGATTCTCAAATCTAGTTACAACTTCAAATCATCGGGACTGCTTTTTAAAAATATTCACACCTGGGCATTATTCTCAGACGTTATGATTTAACTGTTCTAAGGGTAGGATCTGGCAT